CACATATGTTTACCAAAGGTACATCCTCCTTTTGAATAGATCCTTTCAATATCATGTAGTGGCTTTCTTTGTCTCTTGTTATGACTTTGTTTCTCTCTCTATTTCTTTTGTTTATTACAGCAGTTATTTTAACATTTCTTGCAGTGCTGGTTTGGTGCTAATATATTCCCTTAGCCTTTTTTTTTTTTTTGGTCTGGGAAGCTCTTTATTTCATCTTCTATTTTGAATGATAGCCTTGATGGGTAGAGTAGTCTTAGATTCAGATTCTTGTTTTGCATTACCTTGAATACTTCATGCCATTCCTTTCTTGCCTGTAGTATGTCTGTTCAGAAATCAGGTAATAACCTTATTTAGGGTTCATTTGTAGGTAACCTGTTGCTTTTCTCTTTCTGCCTTTAAGATTCTCTCTTTGGAGATTCCAAAATGGCGGCAGAGTAAATGGAAGCTACACAGACCATCTCCCAGGACCAAACTGGAATTACAACTAAAATAAAGACAAATCATCGGGAAAAAGCAACAGGAAAGCAGCTTGCAAGGACCAGATAATCAGGGACACTGAACCGATCCTTGTAAAATTGTGGAGGCACAAGAGGGGGCTAGGAGCCCATGAACAGCAGTGGTCTTAGCTGTGAGTAGTGCCCCTTGGGGTTAAACTCCCAAACCCATTCCACAGCGCAGAGAGCCAGGACAGAGCACTAAAATAGCTACAGCCACTCACCTAGTGCTCGAGCAGAGGGAGGGTGGACTGGACAGGAACTGTGTGGGGACACTAGGGATTCGGAGGGTGCTCTGTGCTTTTGCTGAGTTGTGGCTGCACAGGACAGTAGTCACCTTGATCCTTCCCAGGGCTCTGGGGAGAGGCAGCTGTCCTTCCCTTGGAGATTCAACCCCACCCTTTCGGTCATTGAAATGCAAATTGGGAATCATTAACAACCAGCATCTGCCCCACCCTCAGGAAATCCCCTTACACAGAACACCTGAGGGAGTTTTTCATTCAACTGAAAACCCAAAGATCTTCAAGTAACTGAGACTAATAACCTCCAGGCAAAAAACTAGAGGATAGCCCTGGCTGGTTTGGCTCAGTGGTTAGAGAGTTGGCCTGCAGACCAGAGAGTCCTGGCTTCAGTTCCCGCTAAGGGCATGTACCTTGGTTGCAGTTTGTCCCTGGCCTGGGTTGGGTCGTGTGTGTGTGTGGCAACCACTAGATGTGTCCCTTTCATGCCGATGTTTCTCTTTCTCTCTCTCTCCCTCCCACTCTATCTGAACAAAATATCAAAAAATGTCCTCGGGTGAGAATAAAAAAAAAAAGCTAGAGGACAACTGGACCAACTGGACCATTCCTGGGCTTGCAACTCTACCCAGGAAAGTAAGACTTGACAGTGGTGTTTAACATGGGTCTTCCCGCACCCATCCAAACCCAGTAGAGGGTGCCACAAACAACAGAACACCACAACCACAGGGAAAATTTGGCAGGCTCCAAAACCCACTGAGATAGCCAAAATGGTAAAACAAACAAACAAATCCCAAATGAAAGAAAAAGAGACCTCCACTGAAGATGAGATAAATGAGGAGCAGTTAAGCAAGTTAACAGAGATAGAATTCAGAACCATGATCTTGAGGAAGCTCAACAGCATGAGTAAGGACATCGACACCATGAGTAAAGACACAGAAACATTGAAAATCAACCAATTGGAAATAAAAAACCATCAAGAAGAAATAAGAATGGCATAGCAGAAATAAAGAACACACTGGAAGGGCTAAACAGTAGAGTAGAAGAAGCTGAGGACCGGATCAGTGAATTAGAAGACTGGGAAGAAAAAATCAACCAGTCAGAAAAGCAAAAAGAAAAGGCAATTAAAAAAGACAGGAAGACAGCTTAAGAGAACAGAGAACTGTAGGACAACTGGAAATGTAATAATATTCGCATCATAGGAGTCCCCGAAGAGGAAGAAAATGAGCAACAGTTAGAAAATATATTTGAAGAAATAGTGACAGAAAACTTTCCTAATTTGGTGAAGGAAGAAGGTATTCAAGTTCAAGAAACACAGAGAGCCCCAACTAAGTAGAACCTAAACAGGCCCACACAAAGAAACAGTAGTTAAAATGCCAAAAATTAAAGACAAAGAAAGAATCCTAAAAGCAGCAAGAGATAAGCAACAGGTTACCTACAAAGGAACCCTCATAAGACTCCTAGCTGACTTCTCAACAGAAAAACTACAGGCCAGAAGGGAATGGAATAAAGTAATCAAGGTCATGAAAAACAAGGATTTGAATCCAAGACTACTCTACCCAGCAAGGCTGTCATTCAAAATAGAAGGTCAAATAAAGAGTTTCCCAGACCAAAAAAAAAAAGGCTAAGGGAATACTTTAGCACCAAACCAGCACTGTAAGAAATGTTCAAAGGACGTCTGTAATTAGTAGAAGGAACAGGAAGAAAAATACTAGAAATCAATTGCAACAAGAACATACAAAGACATTTGAAAACATGGAGGCTAAATAGCATATTATTGAACAATGAACGGGTTATAGTGGAGATTAAGGAAGAAATTAAAAACTTCCTGGAAACCAATGAAAATGAACAAACAACACAAAATCTATGGGATGCAGTAAAAGCAGTTCTGAGAGGGAAGTTCATAGTACTACAGGCCTACCTCAAGAAACAAGAAACATTTCTAATAGACTATCTAACCTCACAACTTAAAGAACTAGAAAACAAACAAAAAGAAATCCCCAAATCAAGTAGAAGGAAGGAAATAGGAAAGATCAGAGCAGAAATAAATGACATGAAGACCAAAAAAACAATTCAAAGGATCAATGAAACAAAGAGCTGGTTTTTCGAAAAGATAAACAAGATTGATGAACCCTTAACTAGACTCACCAAGAAATTTGCTTGACTTCATTTCATTTAGCCCTTCTTCTGTAGAAATCTTTTGTTCTTTTGTTTGGGATTTGTTTCCTTTGTTTCACCATTTGGGCTATCTTTGGGCCAAATTCAACAAAACTTAGTTAAGTACGTTTCCTTGCCTTATGTTCTTGGGCTACAAACCAGAAATCTAGTCAAACAATGGTGACCAGCTTCAAGTACTAGTGTATTAAAAGACTGATCTACCATGGGATATCCAGGCAGGGAAAGACAGGAACACAAAAATCATTTCCATCTTGACAAGCCATAAAATATATTATTACCTTAAAAAAAAATACCCCTGCCCCCAAAATTAGATGCCAGTTTTTTTAGTCATAGGTTGAGAAGAAAACAAAAAACAAATACCAACACCATTTTGTTGTCTGGGGGGAGGATGCTAACTTTCTTTGAGTGTCTACTGTCTATCAGGCGGGAAGCTAGGTCCTCACAGGAGCACTGAGCTTTAATTATATTACTTTCATTTTATAGTAATAAAATGGGTTTGGAATGATTATGCAACTCATCCCAAATCACACAATGGGTAAATGGTGGAGTAGAAACTGGAGGTAGATCTGTTTGATTTAAATATACTAGACTTCTTTGTACTTACTGGAATACTTACTGAGAAAGAAAAAAAAAGCCAGCTGAATGAGTCTTCTGTTATTCACATTCCAGAATAAAATTAGTGTTCCCTGGAGGATGAGGAAGGAAGTCATAAAATTTCTGGGAAAAGGGACACTTAAAGGGAATTTAAGGAATCCTGACCCTCTGCCTAAAGGGTAGATCTTTCTGCGACAGCTGGTCTAGGCCACAGTGACAGGAACAGTACTTCCATATACAGAGTGAAATCTATAAGACTGTAGCTCCCAGATGGTTCAAACCTCGTTGGAGCTCCTTCTTGAGACCAGGGGACCTCTAACCTCTCTCACGAGATCCATCGTGTCTATCCTGGTCGTTTCGCCAACCCTTTCCACTGTTTCCCAAGTGTGCAGGGGAGTGAATCTCTTCCTCTTGTTTCTCCACACACACCCCCATCCTTTGGGCCCCACTTTTCTGAATTCCTTCCAACATCTGCTGGTGACATTACAATCGGCCAAAGCTTCAGGTTGTTTACCCAGCTTCTTCTTTAAACTCACCAAAGGATTCACAAATGTGAAACACTCACAAATCATGAGGCTGTAAGGTTCTTTTATAAGCAACAGTGGCTAAATTGTACACGGGTCAAAACTCGCCGACTGTCCTGTCGCAAAGCCCATTCTAACAATGGGGGAAGGGAGGTCAATGACCCTTGTGAAATGCTGGCTGTGTTTCAGGCTCCTTGTGTGGTGTAAGCTTCTCTAAACGTGCCGTCTCATTTAATTTTCACAACTTCCTAAGTGGGTAATATTATTATCTATCTGTAAATTGAGAATTTGAGTTCCACAATCACACACAGGTCACAGCTCGTAAGTGGCAGAGCTGAGATTCAAACCCAGCGTGTCTGATCCCAGCGCTCTGGTATTTTGCCGGCTCCATGCTGTGCCCTTAACATTAAAGACAACTGCTCAAAGGACGGCATCCCGTGAGTGACCTATGGAGACACACCTGGAATATCAGACTGGGGGCTAGATTATGGATAGTTTTAGACATCAAGAAATTTGAGACTAACTTATAGAAAGTCATAAATGACAAGGAATTTAAGTTATCATTTGGGGAATCACTCTTAACAATTAAAGAAGAATCTGAGACTAGTAGGTAGGATAAATAATGGAGGCTGGATTCTGGACTGGAGACAATTTCTGTAACCTAGAAATACATAACAGGGGGTGATGGGTGATCTGGATAACCAACCTACCCAGGAATTTCAAAATACTCCGAACTGGCAGTGGACACCTGGCCGAAAACCCAGTATTCTCTGTGGGTGTGCAGTATTTCACCTGGTCTGACTAATGAAAACTCAGTGCATTTGGAATGGAACCGACAGATACTTCGACGTGCACAGGATGAGTTATTATGCAAACTTAATTTATGTAAATGAATCCCGATAAGGAAGAAAGTCTGGATTATAAAAGGAAGGCAAGCATCATTTAGTTAGTCTCCCCAGGCTCGGGGTTTAATAATGAAGGCCCTCTTGCCACTGACCTTTCTGGTTTTTCTTAGTTCTCCAGGTTGGACAAAAGATAGGCACTACTATATAGGAATTAAAGAAACTACTTGGAACTATGCTCCTACTGGTAAAAATGTGCTGAATGGGAAGCCTATTTCAGAAGATGAGTAAGTAATGCCTTCGCACAGAAAAAGTTACTATCAGAAGCAAAAGATGGTAGCTGTTACTGAAGGATTTCCCGTGATTGGCCCTTTAAGAGCACATCTGCTATTAGAACTACTTCCTTAGTGTCTTTACTATAAGAATGGCATGGCAGACAGATATTCATATAAATCAGAAATGGCTTCTTTCTGGGATCACCGCCACTCTTATCCTCATGCTACATGATTCAGGAACCATGTCTCATTGTGTGTTTGTCAGCTCTTTCGTTCAAGTAACGCTCGACATGCAAAGCAACACTTACTTTCTGATGCTGAGTGTGTGCCAGAGATTGTAAAATCGCAGCTGTCTTCTTGACTTCTCTCTTCAGATCATAGAAAGGGGCGCGTCTAGAGGTTATGTGTGGAGCTCTGATTTATTGTTTGTTGGCCAAAATGCCCCCAGTTCTACTAACAAACCCACAAATGTATTTAAATGTATCACTGATCCCAAGTCATAGGAATTCATCGAATGCTTGAGAGCTAAAGTAACCTCCAGATTCGGTGAGAAGCCCTTTTGTAGTTCAGAACAAAGACTGTGGTCAGTCTTTTAAACCCAAGCGCCACGTGCTACTTGCTTCCTTTGCACGAGGTCTCTTCGCCAGACACTCCAACATCCTCCTTGGCTGCAGCACCTCTTCTGATTACCTTCCCATTTTCTCCGGGGTCTGTTTTCTCTACCAAAATTAGGCTGTAAAGCCGTTTCTGGTTTGAGTTGATTCAACTTTTTTTTCTTTCTAGTCCACATGTGTTCACCTTCTCTTTTTCTGTGTGTTTCTTTTTTTACAGAGAGTCCCGGATATATCTACAGCGTGGCCCAGATAGAATTGGACGAGTTTATAAAAAGGCTTTGTATTTCCAGTATACTGATGATACATTTAAAAAGATCATTAGGAAACCATCTTGGTTGGGATTTTTAGGTCCTATAATTAAAGCAGAGACTGGAGACTTGATTTATGTCCATGTAAAAAATTTTGCTTCAAGAATGTATAGTTTCCATCCTCACGGGCTCACGTACTCTAAAGAAAATGAAGGTGAGTGGATTCTCTGTCCTTATATTCCTGAGCTTTTGCTTATAGAGAGTATAGGTCCACTACGTCAGGAAAAACAAGGATCATTAACTGGGTATCATTATGAACAAGGAGTATTTGGGGATATTTGCAGACTCTTACTTCTGATGCCTTTCATGTTTATATCCAAGACAGTTCTTTTAAAACTTTTCACTTAAATCATATTCTTTATTTGTTGTTATGTGCGTTTAAATTTTTTTTTAGATGTATTGAGGTGACATTGGTTAATAAAATTATATAGGGTTCAGATGTACAATTCTATGACACATCACCTGTGCATTGTATTGTGTGTTCACCACCCCAAGTCAAGTTTCCTTCCTCATTTAACTCTTGAATGAGTGACCACCCTTGTGCAGTTCCTGGGGAAGAAAACACATTTTTCACTCACCGACAGGAAGCTTTTTTGTAGGAGACAATCAATTAGGGCTTTGTGTTCAACATGGAGAGTCCCCAAAGACGAGAAAGGATGAGAGAGGCCTGCTTCAAAGAGCTCTGATTGAAGACATCTCGTGCGTAGCTATCGGGGTTCTAGCCTCGGGAGGCCGAGATATGAAGTGAAATTTTAGGAGAAGGAAGAAAGGAGAGCAAGGTCCTAAATTCAGAGCTGAGGTGACAACTCAGGGTAAGCTCTTCAGAGGACCACTTTTGGACCCCAGTGGGCTCCGTGGCAGCCACATGGACGCCTCCTGATGCCATGGGTCCCGGTCTTATTTGTGGTGAAGAAAATGTGGAGGGCCAGCCGGGAGCTCAGATCTCTGTATCCAGTATCTAGGGACACAGTACGTGCACATTAAATATGTGTGGAATCCATCCATGAAGGTGGATAATCTGTTGGTATACGGTCTGCCTCATTACAATTTGGTCTGGAAGGTGGCCAAGCTGGGCATTTAGAGAAAGCCAACTAACGGGGCCCGAGGGAGACAGGAGTCAGGAGAGAGGAGGAGAGAGGTGCACACTTCACTCTGAAAATACAAACTGATATGTATCTGTGGCTGGTGGAGAGCGCGGGCGGCACATTCAGCACAGTGTTGCCCCGTGGACACTGTGACCACAGCGCAGGTGGTGTCCCCTAGGGGCTCTCTACCCTGACAATACCACGGGCCCGCAGAAGGAAGATGACCGCCTGGAGCCAGGGAGCCGCTACACTTACAAGTGGTTTGTACATGGAAGGCAGGGGCCGGGCCCCAGTGACAGCAACTGTGTGACGCGGATGTACCACTCCCACGTGGACACTCCCAGAGACGTGGCCTCAGGACTGATCGGACCAATTCTGACGTGTAAAAGAGGTAACAGACTTTTAAACTTTTGCTGCAGCAATCGCGTCAGCCAGAATATGTGGGGTCTCCCTCGCTGTCCTTCTGGACTTAGGCTATCAGATTAGTTCTGTTTTCCTGCCTTATCTTGAGTCTCTAGTGAAAAAAAAAAAAAAATCTAGTTGCCATCCTGGACTCTGCACACTAGATGGCGATCGTGAGTACGCCCGAGTTCAAGTCCAATAATGCAGGTTGATCAGCAGATGGTAGTCAAACCCAGTCCACTTCACTAGCTCTCCTCACACAAAGTGCTGCAGCCACCTTGCTCCTGCAGTGTTGAGTCGGCAGGGTGGGGGGAAATGGGGTGCTGAGAGGCGGTCCGCCTGTTCCTTGCATGCCCGGTTCCTTAGGGTTCTGACTGCGGAGGTGCAAGATTTTACTTTTATATTTTAAATGGAATCCATTCAACTTGTTTTATAGCAGAGGTCATTCCTGCAAGGAGTAAGTTTTGCTGGTTTTGTTGTTTCAGGCACACTGGTGGGAGACACCGAAAAAAATATCGACAAGTTCTATGTTCTGATGTTCTCTCATACTGATGAAAACAAAAGCTGGTATATCGATGACAATATTAACATGTACACGGAACCTGGCCGAGTTAATGCCAGTGACCAGAGCTTCAAGGAAAGCAATATTCTGGGCTGTAAGATTTAAGCATCTTTCTCATTTATAATATCAGATGCGTCTCCCTTCGGTGATTCTATTTAGCGCTTTTTCTTTGTTGAGTCTGTTTGCTTTCATGTGTGTTTCAGTTTTCACTCAGGGTGTGCTGCTTGACCTACAAGCCATCTGGTAAACCTCACTGCTTTCCGAAGTGTCCTAGCAAGTAGAGTTAGGTAGATGTGTTTGTTTTCTAAAGTCTGGTATTGAACAAACGTTGACGGTAAAAAACACATAGAAAAGGTGTCATTTTAAGGCAATAAAATATTGCGGAAGAGCCAAGACATCGCTGAGCGGGTATTTTATGAAAACGTGTTTCTACATAGACCTTTTCAGAAGAGATGCCCCTTTACCTCAGTCGCCTTTATCCTTGATCTCTTTCTTGGACGCAGCTGCATTCTGTTCTTCCCCCTTTCCCTGGCCCCTGCCTTTCGGCCCTTCTTCTCCCCTCGCCTCTAAATCGTGGTGCTACTGACACTGCCAATCGTACCCCATGTTTATGACCTCCCTTTTCCCGAACCGCCGTCAGTTCTGGTCGTAGACTGTGCTGTGCAGTGTTGGCACTGCTGGGTTTATGCAATGACGAAATGCATGGGATGCACCCCGTGAGGCCCTTGTCCATCGTGCTTACAGGCGAATTTACATTTGTTTTCAGCAATTAACGGATTCATGTATGGAAACCTACCCCGTCTCACCATGTGTGCCGAGGACAGGGTCAAGTGGCATTTTATTGGCATGGGTAACCTTTATGACATACACCCCATCTATCTCCACGGACAAACTCTGATCTCTCGGAATCACAGGAAGGACACCATTACTGTCTTCCCGGCCTCGTTAGAAGATGCCTTCATGGTGGCCAAGGGCCCTGGAGAATGGATGCTGGGATGTTCAATATACGGTAGGGGTTTATTACTTTTACCTACTACAGGGTCAGAGAACTTCCAAGGTTGCAACCCACTACAAATGCCTCATCCTCCAAATGGAGAAACTGACCCCTAGGGAAGTAATAGGGTTGGCTTGTAGAAAGTCAGGGACAAGGCCAGGCCTAGAACCCAGGTCTCTGCCCCTTTTACCTCCATGATAACAAACTCTTCTTGGTATATATGGGTTTTTGTTGTCGTTGATTTACAAAAAAAAAAAAAAGAAGAAGAAGAAGAAGAAAACTTTTATGTTCATTAGCCTGTGAGCCTTACAAAAAAACAAAACAAAAACAAACCCTGAATGTTGGACAGAGCAGGTTTATTTCTTTTTTAATTGAGAAGACAAGTTCCAAGAGGTTAAGACACTGGTCCAAAACCCTGTAAGAGGTAGAGAAAGGAATTATGTAGGAAAAAATACCCTTAAACAGGTTGGGATTAGGGACACCAACTACCCTCACAGTCAGAAATCTGCATATAACTTTTGACTCCCCCAAAACTCAACCACTATGACCCCACTCTTTTTTTTATTAATTTATTTTTGTTACAGATGTTTCTCCTCTTTTCCCCACTGATTCCCCCCTCCCCTCCCTTCCCGCCCTGTCTCCAGCTTTGTTGTCCATGTCCATTGTTCATGCACACATGCATGTAAGTTCTGTGGTTTATCTCTCCCCACCACCCCCTCTTCTGGGGATTGTCAGTCTGCACCCCACTCCCACGTCTCTGGGACTACCCCATTCCTCAGACTGTTATGTTCATTATATTCCACAAGTAAGTGAGATCATATGATACTTGTCTTCCTCTGTTTGGCTTGTTTCGCTTAGGATAATACTTTCCAGGTCCCTCCATGTAGTCTCAAAGGATAAGAGATCTTTCTTTCTTACAGCTGCATAGTACTATGACCCCACTCTTGAAGCTTTACTGATAACATAGTCAGTTAGCAAATATTTTGTATATTTTATGTATTATTTACTGTATTCTTACAATAAAGTAAGCTAAAGAAAAGAAAATGTTACTAAGACAATCATAAGAAGCCCAACCGGTGTGGCTCAGTAGTTGAGCATTAACCCTGCACCAAGAGGTCACCAGTTCAATACCCAGTCAGGACACATGCCCAGGTTGTGGGCCTGATCCCCAGTGGGGGGCATGCAGGAGACAGCCAATCGATATTCTTTCTCATCAAAGTTTCTATCTCTTTCTTCCTTTCCCTTCCTCTCTCTCTAAAATCAACAAAGAAAAGTAAATTTTAAAAAAATCATAAGAGAAAATAATTTACACTCCTGTACTGTATTTATTAATACCATAAGTTTATGTAGTCTGTTTACAAAATAAAAAAATCTGTATATATTTTGACCCACACAATTCAAACCCGAGTTATTCAAGGATCAATTGTGATTGTAATCCATTAGAAAACCTCCTTACTCTAGAGCGTTTCCCTCCTCAATCACGCTGTCCAGTGAGTAAGAGGCTGGCCAGTTATGAAGTTATTGATCTGCTCTATTCTTAAACATGGCCAAACTCTACCTACAATTATGTAAATGTTTGTTTCCCTTTTCAATCAGAAAATATGATTGTTACTAGAACTGAAGAATTTAATTTGTCTTTCTTTGTACAAAAATGGGGTTTATGTCTCTGATCAAAACCTTCGTTTTTTTCTAAGTCCCATGCTTTGGTTGCATCATGCTTTGATTCATTATTTAAACAACTAAGCAGCAGGTGTTTATTAGGATTTCCTGAGTGCTGTGTCCCCCCCAGGACCATGGGAAAAGGAGAACCACACACAGCGATTGTAATTCAAGGGCTGAATCTAATGATATTAGAAAGGACTGTCATTTTACCACTCAGACAGGAATCACTGTAAATCATTGGGTGTGAATACTTGCACACCTATTTCCTATGCATTTTCACACAATATGTATGAACACGTAGAACTAAAAATATATAACTATGTTTTGTGGTTGTTTTGCATAATGAGATCACACTGCCAATAACATTCTGCTCCTTGCTTTCTGCACTCATCAATATGTCTTGAAATCTTTTCCATGACACTTCCCATCTATTTTACTTATTCTTTTAAAGTGTTATGTAGTTTTCCGTATTCGGGACGTATCTTAATTTATCTAACAATTTGCCCACTGATAGACATTTAATTGCGTCCACTTTTTCTTGTTTATTAACAATGTTGAAGTTAATACCTTTTTTATTTGTGTCTTTGGGTGCATGTGCTCTTGGGTAACTACCAGGAACTCAAATTATATAATGAAAGGGTTTTTAATGTTAACAAATGTTGCCGGATTGCCTTCCAAAAGTCTGTACTAATGGACATTCCACCAAAGGTGCTCTGAAATTCAAACACAGGGTGGATGCCCTCGTGAAAATGCACCTGCCTGGATGGTCCTCCTGGCTGCCAACAGTTCATCTAATAAACCAACTCCCTCATTAGTGACTAGTGGGAGGAATTGTATGCCCACAAGGAAAATGTTTTTGGCCACACGGACTCCAGATTCTTCTCGGTAGGCAGTTGCCGTCTTTGTCTCTGAGTTGGTCCAATGCTGGTTATTTTCTGACAACATATAGTCCTCTGCTATTTATCTCTGCATCCTGGGTTTGTACTTCTTCCATACATTTCTAGGCTTTTTCACAGATTCCGTAAATAGAATACCTAACATTTCTCAGAAGGGGAAGTTGCAACCGTGTGGGCTGAAGCATGAAGTATGCATGGGCCACGGAAATGTTTTAGTAACATTCTCTCCTTCGGGTTATGTTTTGCAGAGAGCATGCATGCCTTTTTCCACGTAAGGGATTGCGGGAATCCTTCTGCAGAGGTTCCTGGGACCCGTGTCGTACGTTACTATATTGCCGCCGAGAAGACACTGTGGAACTATGCTCCGTCTGGGACAGATTTCTTCACCGAAAAGCCTTTAACGGCCAATGGGAGGTAATGAGTCACTGATTGAAGAGTCTATGGTTAAGTAAAGGTTATTGAAACCTTTCAGAACCCAGCTTTTCCTGAACAGGATTTAGGCATCTTACAATAAAAAGATTCTTGATGAAATAAAGGTAGAAAAATTATTATATCAATAACCGGAAAAAATGGAACCTAAGGATCATTGCACAAGTTTTCCTCTGAACGGCCTTGGCAGCCCCTGTGAAGAGAACACTGCTCATGGGTTTCCTGGCGCTGGGTGTCAATGGGTTGCTTACACCCCTGAGGCATTTCACAGCATAGTGGGTAATGTGATCAATAGCAACTTTACAAAAATTCAGAAACGTTCCTCGTGTGGAATCTAGCTTTCCTGCTAAGATCTGAAAGCAATGATGTCATTTCCTGGGGCATCCTTAAAGTACGTTATGTAAATATTTTTCTCAATAGCATCTAAGACTATATTACCAATTGCTATGTTAACGACCAAAAACTAAGACTGAAATACATTACTGCAGCATCAGTATCTAAAAGTGAATAAGCCCGGCCGGTGTGGCTCAGTGGTTGAGCATCGACCCATGCACCAAGAGGTCGCCAGTTCGATTCCAAATTAGGGCACATGTCCAGGTTGTGGGTCAGACCCCCAGAGCGGGGCATGCAGGAGACGGCCAATCGATGTTCTCTCTCATCAATGTTTCCATCTCTCTCTTCCTCTCTATCTAAAATCAATATAGAAAAAAAATTTTTTTTTAGATTTGTAGATAAACCGCTAGCTAAACAGAGATACTTGTGTGTCACCCATACATAAAAGACTGAAAAAAATGTCCATGGAAAGTATTGGCAATGGTTCTATATAGAAGGTAGAGTTATGAAGATTTTTATTTTCTTTGTTGCCTTATTTCCCACATTTTCTACTTTCATAAATGAATTACACGTGCTTTGAGACAGAGGTATGCAGATTCTTGCTTCCCTCTCACACGATCGCTGTAACCTTAAAGGTTCTTAGTGTGCCTCCTTTCTCTGCAGTGAATCCCAGCCGTATTTTGAACAAGGTCCAACCAGAATTGGAGGAACTTACCAGAAACTAGTTTACCGTGAATACACAGATGCTTCTTTCCAAACACAGAAGGCAAGAGAAAAGCACCTTGGAATCCTTGGTAAAATCCTATTCATGACCCGTGAGGTTATAAGTATGTGACTTTTAGATGAATTCTGTGCAATCAAACAGTATTCGCCAACTTGGTTTTATTGATTTTAGCCATCAGCTTAAAACCTTATGAAAACAATATATTTCAATTCCCCCAACTTTAAGCTACATTCTTTTGTCCCTATAAATCCAGTAAGATTACTATATTCACCCACAGTGACTTTGTAGTACCTCGAAACATCTAGACCAGTGGTTCCCAACCTTCCTGATGCTGCGACCCTTTAATACAGTTCCTCGTGTTGTAGTGACCCCCAACCATAAGATTATTTTCGTTGCTACTTCATAACTGTAATTTTGCTACTGTTATGAATCACCATCGGAAATATGTGTTTTCCGATGGTCTTAGGCAACCCTTGCGAAAGGGTCGTTCGACCCCCAAAGGGCTCGCGACCCACAGGTTGAGAACCGCTGATATAGACTTTTGCAGTTTCTGGTTCGTGGCATCATCCTTTAACTTGTTCTTAGCCCCTTACCCAAGTAACACAACCTGGCAAGTACACGTTTGAGAACAAGAACAATGACTGACTGTTGGTTCCAGGCCCGGTCATCAAGGCAGAAGTGGGAGATACCATCCAGGTCACTTTCTGTAACAAAGGTCCCGTGCCGCTCAGCATCCAGCCTCACGGACTACGTTACAGCAAAGACAACGAGGGCTCGTACTACAGAACACCCGGAGGCGGTGAGTGGAACTCGAGGGCGGGCCAAGAAAGCCACACAGGAATGTAATGTCAACAAGAAACTAAACTTCCCCCTGGCGTCAGTGTGCGACTCGCTTTTCACTCCCCGGCCGCTCTGTGTAGTTACTGGGGCAAAGTGATTCCCTTGGCCCCTGGCAGCGGTCACCCAAGGTGCCGCAAGGTGGGCAATCAGTTCTCGCTCTCGGAGACCCCAGTCTCCTCTGGAGGACTTTGGGTCATAGACACGGCCTTACGAGTGGCTATTCCGTTCTAGGCGCCCCTCCAGCCTCCTCGCATGTAAATCCTGGCACGACATTGGTCTATACGTGGCAAGTGCCGAGAGATGTGGGTCCCACCGCCACGGATCCCGCCTGCCTGACCTGGTCATACTACTCCTCGGTGAATGGGTCGAAAGACTCCTTCAGCGGCCTTGTGGGGCCCCTCTTGGTGTGCAGAAAGGGGAGTCTCGGACAGGACGGCCAACAGGTGAGCCATGGCCTGTGTCCAGGTCTGCTCCGTGAGAGTTAGCCTGAGACAGAGCTGCGGAGAAAGGGCAACATCACTTCTGCGTGCTGATGTCTCCCAAGTCCATTCTCCCCTCAACTCTGGGCCTGTATCTTCCTCTACCCAATGAACAGCCCCCCGTCAGGTTCCACAAACACCTCTAATTCCAACGAAGTATTTTAACTCTTCAGCTCCCTCTGGGTGGCTCCTTCCTGCCCCTCTCCCTTCTGAGCCACCCTCTTTTCCTCTATTCTGTAGCATCGGTCACCAAATCTACAATACACTGCCTTATTGTAGGCACCACTGTCTCTCTCTGAATCCCTTCAGCCTCCGAACTCCTGTCCCGACTCCCATCCTCCTTCAGCAGAACTCCACACCCCTTCCTTTCAAATCTAGCGACAGCACACGCCACAGTGGAAACCACGTCACCATTTGTTGACTCAGAGGTCAACACAGCAGACCCTACGGATCCCTCCCCACGGTCTCAAACACACCGTCCCGGCCTTACTGCGCAATTGGCTTGTTAGTCCCTGAGCGAGGAAGGCTAACTCACATTTCTTCGCTTTGCCTTTCTTCTCTCTGTCTGGAACAGTCTTTCCTCACTGCTTTGCCTGCTAAAAGGGAAGACAGTTTTAAAACCCATCCTGAGGGTTCCTTGCTGCCCTCCGACAACATTCCCTAACAAAGTTAGCGGAACTTCCTGCAGATGACCATAGTCCCTTGTCTGCGTGTTTATTAAAGCACTTATCCATGCATTTATTTTTACTGACCTTTATCTCCCACTGGACTGTAAGCTCCTTGAAACCATAGAGTCTTTATTTATTTATTGTATCAACCACAGTCCCTCTGTGGCATATAGTAGGTGCTCATTAAATGCTTGATGAACGACTTTCCTTCCTCCTTCACTCACAAGCGAACTAACATCCAAGTTCTTTTCTGCATTAATAATTCATGTGTAATATGACCTTATAAATTCCCCGATATAATTATATGTAGAATTGAATGTATATTTTATATTTAAATGTGATTATACATTCACATTTATTTATATAAAGTCACACAGAAGTCTCATAATTTTTACATACATACAATGTTTATATCTTATCTCAAAAGAGAAATATTTATACATATTTCATTTCTTCATAAACTCTAAAAATGCAGACTTTCTAGAATTCAAAACATTTTATTTAACTTATTTTCTACAAAGCAGCCTACGAAAAGCCACTATCTATGATTACCTGATCATATGGTTTAGTTTTATGAAATTTCAGATGTAGTGATCCCCAGAGTAAGAGCTTTATATGAAAACAGCTATATTATTCCCAATTTCTTAGTTCTGTGATAAATCCATTCACTGAGATTCATGCCCTTATCTAAAATGTCTTAAGTGGGGAAGTCAACTGATCAAAATGTCTAGGAGTATACAAATCTCCTTGTAGAGAAAATATTATATGCAGAACAACCATTTGACTAGACTCTGAATATGGACCATCTATATTTCACGTATATTCTTTTTTCTATTCTCATTCACAGAAGGGAATAGACAAAGAGTTTTACCTACTTGTCACAGTATTTGATGAAAATAAAAGTTATCTCCTGGATGAAAATATTAGAACATTTACCACAGAACCTAAAAATGTGGACAAAGAGGATCAAGATTTCCGAAACTCTAACTTGATGTCCTGTAAGAAACCATTTAATTTACACAATAAATGTATTAAGCAGTTGTTTAATTTCATTATGGCTAAAGAATAACAGGCTATTTAAAAGAAATGTACATTTCACCCCACGATGGTTGGCAAATATATTTCATGTTACCTTTAAATATAATTTCCCAATAAAAATATTGTCTACCAAGAGGGTTATGTAAAATTCAATTTACCAAATATTTCCCAATGCCTTTTGGGTGTAATATATTTTCTAGCTATTACTACATGTAAGACACAAAGGTCACGTATTTCTCTACTGACCAACGAGTGGAGTGGGTGGTGGGTTTTGTTGAGTTGGTGGTTTCTGAAGAGCGTGAGATGTGGTGGGAAAGGGTTAGTCTGGAGACTCTGGTCTCAACAGTTCCCTTCATTAGCTTAATGACACTGGACAAGGAACTCCTCCGGCCTTAGTTTTCTGAAATCCGAAAGGAAAGGATTGACTGGGATCATCTTGAGATTCTTCCGCGAATGAACTGCTTTATGGTTAGTTCTTTGTTGAGTTTCACGAGACGTCAGTGAATCCAATTCTCTTGTCTTTGTTTCCAATGTCTTGCAGCCATGAACGGATACATGTACGGGAATCTGCCAGGACTGGAGATGTGCTTAGGCGACAACGTTTCATGGCACGTTCTTAGTGTGGGGTTACAGGTTGACTTACATGGACTGTATTTTGCAGGAAATACCTTCACTTCCACAGGAGAAAGACAGGACACAGTAGCTCTGTTCCCCCACACTTCCCAGACACTTTTAATGACACCTGATGCCACAGGTAGGTGGTGAATCTTCTCCTTCGGCCAGAAACGTGTTAAAAGTACGAAAAATAGCGTCATTAGATGCATTGACTATTCTGTTTGTACAAAGAAAAGGAAGAACTTACACAAATCGTGTTTGGAAAATTGTTGCCCTTTTCTGTTTAAGTTATAGAGGCATTGGTATATAATGTTCCTGTACACAAACATCTTCTTAGCCTCTCCCAGTGTTTCCTCCCTGAGCTTCAGGCTTTAAACCAACCCCCCTCCCTCAAAAGCAATGAAGATGTTTTGAAGCATTTGACCTTGTTTTCTTTCAACTATCTGCTGCACTTCGAACTTTCCTGTCCATCCGCTTCCCAGGCCTTCTTTCTGCTTCTACCTGACCCGCTTCCCTCTGCCTCCTGCTCCCTACCTCTCTCCTTGCTGGCTTTGTTCTCAAGGGAGAGGTTTTGACGTCAATGAGGTTGACAGTGGCTGGCAAATATTTTTTAAAAAGACAGCCCACCTCAGAGAATCGTTGTGGGGATCAGAGGAGTCAAGCCTCCACTCTAAACCTAACACCCTCATTTGTAAAGTACGTACTGCAATAATTTACAAAAAGAAAGAGGCAATGATCAGATCCCATGAGATACAAGTAATAAAGATGTAGTCACTTACCTAGACTATGTTGGATTTTAAAGACAATGTCAGTGTCTCCTTTTATCCTGCAGATCCAACTTTACATAACAAAAACAGAATCATCTGTCTTGGTCAAAAGTTACTGGCACCAAACAAATCTGTCTACACAATGAACTTAACTCTTTGTGATACCACAGATTCACCTGACTACATTTTCTACATTCCAAATTTTTATTTATGTATTTTTATGTTTTTAATTAATTTATTTTTGTTCCAGATGTTTCTCCTTTTCCCCCCACTGATTCCTCCCCTCCCCTCCCTCCCTGCTCCGTCCCTAGCTTTGTTGTCCTGTCCATTGTTCATGCACACATGCATATAAGTTCTGTGGTTTATCTCTTCCCCACCACCCCCTCTTCTGGGGATTGTCAGTCTGTACCCCACTTCCACGTCTCTGGGACTACCCCATTCTTCAGACTGTTATGTTCATTGTATTCCACAAATAAGTGAGATCATATGATACATGTCTTTCTCTGTTTGGCTTGTTTTGCTTAGGATAATACTTTCCAGGTCCCTCCATGTCGTCTCAAAGGATAAGAGATCTTTCTTTCTTACAGCTGCATAGTACTCCATTGTGTATATGTACCAAGCTGTTTTATTCATTTGTCTACTGATGGACATTTGGGTTGTTTCCAGATATTAGCTATTGTAAATAGTGCTGCTACGAACATAGGGGTATATATATTCTTTCCAATTGGTGTTTCAGGCTTCTTAGGGTATATTCCTAGAAGTGGGATCACTGGGTCAAATGACAATTCAATTTTTAACTTTTTGAGGTAACACCAAATTGTTTTCCATAATGGCTGCACCAGTCTGCATTCTTACCAGCAGTGTACTAGAGTCCCCTTTTCTCCACACCCTCGCCAACACTTGTTGTTTGATGATTTGTTGATGGCAGTCATTCTGACAGGTGTGAGGTGATACCTCATTGTTGTTTTAATTTGCTTCTCTCTGATGATTAGTGATGTTGAGCATTTCTTCATATGTCTCTTAGTCATTTGTATGTCCTGTTTGGAGGGGTGTCTATTTAGTTCCTCTGCCCAATTTTTAATTGGGTTCTTTGTCTTCCTTTTGTTGAGTTGTAGGAGCACTCTCTATATATTGGAAATTAACCCCTTATCTGATGTATCATTGGCAATGATGGTCTCCCATAGGATGGGTTGCCTTTCCATTTTAGTGGTTGTTTCTTTTGCTGTCCAGAAGCTTTTGAGTTTGATGTAGTCCCATGTGTTTATTTTCTCCTTTGTTTCTGTTGCCTTAGGTGATGTATCAGTGAAAATTCTGCTGTGTATGATGTCTGAAATTTTGTTGCCTACATTTTCTTCTAGGGTTTGTATGGATTCATGAGTCACATTTAAGTCTTTTATCCATTTTGAGTTTATTCTTGTGTATGGTGTAAGTTGATGGTCTAGTTTCAATTTTTTGCATGTAGCTGTCCAATTTTCCCAACACCATTTATTAAAGAGGCTGTCTTTACTCCACTGTATGCTCTTGCCTCCTTTGTCAAATATTAATTGAGCATAATGTCCTGGGTCTATTTCAGGATTCTCTGTTCTGTTCCACTGGTCTATATGTCTGTTCGTGTGCCAGATCCAGGCTGTTTTGATTACAGTATCTTTGTAGTATAACCTGAAATCTGGTAATGTGATCCCTCCAACTTTGTCCTTCTTTTTCAAGATTGCTCTGGCTATTCGAGGTCTTTTTTGGTTCCATATGAACTTTTGAAGTATTTGTTCTAGTTCTGTGAAGTACGTCATTGGTATTTTGATGGGGATTGCATTGAATCTATAGATTGCTTTGGGTAATATGGACATTTTAATGATGTTAATTCATCCAATCCATGAACAAGTTATGTGCTTCCACTTTTATATTTTCCTCTATTTCTTTTTTCAGTGACCTGTAGTTTTCTGCAAATAGGTCCTTTATTTCGTTGGTTAAGTTTACTCCTAAGTATCTTAATTTTTTTTGCCCCAATGGTAAATGGGATTGTTTTTGCATTTTCTCTTTCTGTGATTTCATCATTGGTGTATAAGAATGCCATCGATTTCTTGACATTAATTTTGTATCCTGCTACTTTGCCAAATTCATTTATTAAGTCTAGTAAATTTTTGATGGAGTCTTTGGAGTTTTCTACGTATAGTATCATGTCACCTGCGAATAATGACACTTTCACTTCCTCTTTTCCAATTTGGATCCCTTTTATTTTTTCTTCCTGTCTGATTGCTGTGGCAAAGACTTCCAGTACTATATTAAATAAGAGTGGCAAAAGTGAGCATCCCTGTCTTGTTCTTGTTCTTAAGGGAAATGCTTTTAATTTTTGCCCATTGAGTATGATGTTGGCTGTAGGTCTTTCATATATGGCCTTTATTATGTTAAGATATGATCCCTCTATTTCCAGATTGCTGAGCATTTTTATCAGAAATGGGTGCTGGATTTTGTTGAATGCTTTTTCAGTGTCTATGATTATATTATTTTTATTATATTATTTTTACCTTTCATTTTGTTTATGTGGTGTATCATATCTAATGATTTGCAAATATTGTACCAGCCTTGCATCCCTGGGATGAATCCCACTTGGTCATGGTGAATAATTTTTTTGATGTATTGCTGAATTCGATTTGGTAGTATTTTGTTCAGGATTTTGGCATCTGTATTCATCAGGGATATTGGCCTGTAGTTTTGTTTTTTCATAGTGTCTTTTTCTGGTTTTGGAATTAGAATTATTCTGGCCTTGTAAAACAAGTTTGGAAATCTTCCTTCTTCTTGAATTTTTTGAAATAGTTTGAGGAGAATGGGTGTTAGTTCTTCTTTGAATGTTTGGTAAAATTCCCCCGTGAAGCCGTCTGGGTCTGGGCTTTTGTTTGCTGGGAGAGTTTTCATTACATCTTCAATTTCTTTAGTTGTTATTGGTCTGTTCAAATTTTCTATTTCTTCCCAGTCCAGTTTTGGGAGACTATGTGTTTCTAGAAATTTATCCATTTGGCTTAGATTATCAAATTTGTTGCCATATACTTGTTCATAGTAGTTGTTAACGATCTTTTGTATTTCTGTGGTGTCAGTTGTTACTTTTCCTCTTTCATTTCTGATTTTGTGTATTTGGGTTCTCTCTCTTTGTTTCATGGTGAATCTAGCTAAGGGTTCATCAATCTTGTTTATTTTTTGCAAAACCTGCTCTTTGTTTCATTGATATTTTGAATCATTTTTGTTTTTGTTTTTGGTTTCTATGTCATTTGTTTCTGCTCTGATCTTTACTATTTCCTTCCTTCTACTTGCTCTGGGGTTTTCTTTTTGTTTGTTTTCTAGTTCTTTAAGTTGTGAGGTTAGATAGTCTATTAGAGATTTTTCTTGCTTCTTGAGGTAGGCCTGTAGTGCTATGCACTTCCCTCTCAGAACTGCTTTCGTTGCATCCCATAGATTTTGTGTTGTTGTGTGTTCATTTTCATTGGTTTCCAGGAAGTTTTTAATTTCTTCCTTGATCTCCATGGTAACCCATTCATTGTTCAATAACATCCTATTTAGCCTCCATGTTTTCAAATATCTTTACATGTTCTTGCTGCAATTGATTTCTAGTTTCATTCCATTGTGATCTGAGAAGATGCTTGATATGATTTCAGTCTTCTTGAACTTGTAGAGACTTAGTTTGTGCCCTAACATGTGGTCTATCTTTGAGAATGTCCCATGTGCACTTGAGATGGATGTGAATTCTGCAGTTTTGGGGTGTAGTTCTCTGTAGATATCTATTAAATCCATTTGATCTAGCGCTTCATTTAGAGTCTGTGTTTACTTGTTAATTTTTTGTCTAGAGGATCTATCTAGTGATGTCAGTGGGATGTTGAAGTCCCCTGCTATGATTGTATTGCTGTCGATTTCTCCTTTGAAGTCCTTCAGAAGATTTTTAATATATGTTGGTGCTCCTATATTGGGTGCATATATGTTTACCAAGGTTATATCTTCCTGTTGGATAGATCTTTTCAATATTATGTAGTGGCCTTCTTTGTCCCTAGTTATGACCTTCATTTTGAAATCTATTTTATCAGATATGAGTATTGCTACCCCAGCTTTTTTTTGCTTTCTGTTTGTTTGGAAAATTTTTTTCCATCCCTTCACTTTCAACCTATGTGATTCTTTTGTTGTGAGGTGGGTCTCTTGTAAAGAACATATATGTGAGTCATGCTTTCTTATCCAGTCAGCTACTCTGTGTCTCTTTATCGGAGGATTCAATCGATTTACATTTAAGGTGATTATTGATATGTACTTATTTATTGCCATTTTTGTTTAGTGTGGTTATATTTTTCTTTCTATTTATTCTATTAATTACAGCAGTCCTTTTAACATATCTTGCAGTGCTGGTTTGGTGCTAATGTATTCCCTTAGCCTTTTTTTTGTGTGTCTGGAAAGCTCTTTATTTGACCTTCTATTTTGAATGATAGCCTGGCTGGATAGAGTAGTCTTGGATTCAGATCCTTGTTTTTCATGACCTTGATTACTTCATGCCACTCCCTTCTGGCTTGTAGTGTTTCTGTTGAGAAGTCAGCTGACAGCCTTATGCGGTTTCCTTTGTAGGTAACCTGTTGCTTATCTCTTGCTGCCTTTAGGATTCTCTTTTTGTCTTTAATTTTTGGCTTTTTAATTACTATGTGTCTTGGTGTGGGCCTGTTTGGATTCTTCTTACTTCGGGCTCTCTGTGCTTCTTGAACTTGAATGCCTTCTTCCTTCACCAAGTTAGAAAAGTTTTCTGTCACTATTTCTTCAAATGTATTCTCTAACCCTTGCCCATTTTCTTCCTCTTCATAGACTCCTATAATGCAAATGTTATTACATTTCCAGTTGTCCCACAGTTTTCTTAAGCTGTCTTCCTGTTTATTATTTATTATTATTATTTTTTTGTTTTCTGATTGGTTGAATTTTTTCTACCTTTTCTTCAAATTCACTGATCCAGTCCTCAGCTTCTTCCACTCTGCTAATTAGTCCTTCCAATGTGTTCTTAATGTCTGCTATGTCATTCTTCATTGCCACTTGGTTGGTTTTCAATGTTTCTATATCTTTACTCATGGTGCTGATGTCCTTACTCATGCCCTAGAGCTTCCTCAAGATCATAGCTCTGAACTCTACCTCTGATAATTTGCTTAGCTGCATTTCATTGATCTCATCTTCAATAAAGTTTTCTTGTTCTTTCATTTGGGATTTGTTTCTTTGTTTCACTGTTTTGGCTATCTCAGTGGGTTTTGGAGCCTGCCAAATTTTCCCTGTGAGTGTTGGTGTTCTGATGTTTGTGGCTCCCTCTGCTGGGTTTGGATGAGCCTGGGTGGGCGCACGTTAAACACCACTGTCAAGTCTTACTTTCCTGGGTAGATTTGCAAGCCCAGGAAATGTTCAGTTATTCTCTAGCTTTTTCCTGGTGGCTAGTAGTCTCAGTTACTCAGTGCCTTAGAATGTATCCCTGGTGTTCTGCATAAGAGCATTTTGAGAGGGTGGGATAGATCCTGGTTTTTAATGAGCCTCAATTTGCATTTATTTGCCTCACCTGGGAAAGGCTGAATCTCTGAAGGGGTGGGGGCTGCTGCTTTTCCCCACAGCAAGGGCAATGAGCACTCTGGCCACCATCTTTGTGGTAGCAACTCAGCAAAAACTCTGAGTGCCCTCCAAATCCCGGGTGTCCCCACAGAGTTCCAGCCCAGTCTGCCCTCCCTCTGCCATAGCCCCAGGTGAGTGGCTGTGGCTATTTTAGCACTCTGTCCTGGCTCTCTGTGCTGTGGAGCGGGCTTGGTCTCTATTCCCCAAGGGTGCTGCTCACAGCTAAGACTGCTGCTGTCCTTGGGCTCCCAGCCCGCCACCCTATTGCGCCTCTACAGATCCTACTTGTGTCCCTGGTTATATGGTCCTGTCCTGCTGCTTTTCTGTTGCTTTTTTCTGAGGATTGGTCTTTATTTTAGTTGTAATTCTCGTTTGGTCCTGGGAGATCATCTGTGTAGTTTTCATTCACTCCGCCTCCATTTTCATCCTCTATGCCTATCTTGTGCACAGCTGAATGGCACAGGCCTCTCTGGTGCCCCTGCACCCTGCAGGTCTCGCGGGTAACTGGATTGCACAGTCGCTTTGGGGACCCGGCTCTATGCCTATCTTATGGGCTGCTGGGTCGAACAGGTCTCTCTGGTGCTTCAGCACTGCACAGTCCCCATGGGTAACTGGATGGCACAGTCTGCTGGGTCACACAGGCCTCTCTGGTGCCCCCGCACCCTGCAGGTCCCACAGGCGGGCAGCTGGATTGCACCAGTCCCTCTGGGGCTCTGGCTTCCCACTGCTCCTGTGAGCTGCTGGACTGCACAGGCCTCTGTGCAGCCCCAGGTCCCGCTGCTGGAGGCTGAGGAGTGCTGCTGCCCCATGGGGCTCAGCTCCTGCTCAGCTTTTGCTGTAGATTTTAGGGATGGGTCTCAGCTGCTGGTCTGTGCTCCTGTTGCCTGGGGATGGATGTCTGCTCCCCAGCCTCTGTTCCCAGGGGTATATCTGGACTCTGATCGGGCTGCTACTGTGGGGGATGGTGCTGGGCTCCAGGCTGTCCGTGGCTTCCACAACCGGCACCTTAGGAGCTCCACTACTGTGCACTGGTCTGTGTTGACCCAGAGTGTCCACTGGTGCCAGGGGTGCTGGTGGGGTCAGGTTGCTGGGCCCCAGCCGCTCCCACTGCCTCCTCCCAGGGAAGACCCGGGATCTTCCTAAATGCTGGGACCTCCCTGCAGCACAGGGAGAAGCTCCCTGAAGGGCCGCTCACCGCATAGCCGGCTGCTCCGTCCACAGCACAGGGACCTTCTGCTCCAGGCTCTGCACTGCTCGGGTTTGGTCGTCCACCGTCACGCCCACTCACACTCTCTTACACACTCGCTCACTCTCGCACACACTCGCTCTCTCTCTCTCACACTCACCCTCCCTCCGGTCCTGCCCGCTGCCATCTTCCAGCCTCTACGTTCCAAAACTTTTAGTTTTACTTCTCAAACAAAGAAAATCTGTGATTAAGGGCAAATATGGGGGCGGGGGGATCTTTCCACCCCACTCCTCATTCTCCTTTTCCCTGAACCTAAAAACATTTTACTGCTCCTTGTTCATTTTCCTGAACAGTATCAGCGCCAGTAAACCTGGGACACCAACCTCGCGTCGAGCAGCCTGCTGCACGGAATCATCTCATTCTAACCCTGTTCTCTTTCCCAAACCCTCCGAACCTGGAGGGTTTTCTTCCTCGTCCATCTTCTTGAATCTTACCCTCCACAAAAAGTAATAGCAACAAGAGGAATATGTGAAGTGCTGACAGGCAGAGTTATTGCTGTGAAGGTGATATGAAGCAGGGTCAGAATGTGAGGGGCATACAATGGACCGGAACAAAAGACAACCAGAACTCAGGTGGAATTCAAGTTCTGGACCAGGCTGAAATTTTTTTTGTTGTGGTGATTTGTTTGGGTCATGGTTACTCTTTGGGGTTCCTAATGTATTCGGCTGAAGCCGCCCCCTGCTCCCTCTCTGATCCAAGCCACCATCGTCTCTCAGGGGACAGTGTTAACAGCCCCTCGCAGGTCTCCTCCCTTTCCCTTTGCCCACCCCAGTCTAGTCTCCGTACAGCTGCCAGGGTGCCCTGTGTCTCCCACCCATTCAAAATTCCACAATGGCTCCCAATTTCACTAAGTAAAGACACAGACGTCTCAGTGGCCCCCAAGGGCCCATGTGACGCAGCCCTCCAGTCCCCACTGGTCCTGTCTCCTGGTCCTCGCACCATTGCTCACTCCATCCAGCACCCAGGCCTTTTGCGTGGTCCTCAGCTGCACCAAGTGGGCCCTCAGCTTGGGGGAGTTCGCCCAAATGCTACCCTCTCATCAAGGCCTACCCTGATCATCCTTTAAAATATTGCCCATTGCTCCTTTGAGCCCCTTGGTCCTCCGACCCCTAGAATCCTCAGTCTTCCTTACACTGTTATACCTTTTCCTTCTTTCTTTTCTTTAAATGTTGTTTTCCTTTATTGATTTGAGAGAGAGAGGAAGTGAGAGGGAGAGAGAAATGGAAACATCGATGAGAGAGAACATCGACTGGCTGCCTCCTGCACGCCCCCCACTGGGGATCAGGCCCACAACCTGGGCATGTGCCCTGACCGGGAATCGAACTGGTGACCTCTTGGTGCAGGGTCGATGCTCAACCACTGAGCCACACTGGCCAAACATACCTTTTTCTTGAATGCATAGCATTTATTACCTTCCAACATACATAAAAGTTACTATGTTTATTGTTTGTTTCTACAAGACCTTACAATATAAACTATAAGGATGAGGATTTTTCATTGTTTTGTTTATTGATGCTTCTGAAGTTCCCTGAACTATGCCTGGCCTACAGAAGATACTCACCACATATTCATCAAGTCAGTGAAAGAATAAACTCTCTTATACCCTGCAGATGACTTTACAGAGAGAAGAGAGATCTGAATGCTAATCTTTGCAAATTCTTTTCTTACCCACCTCTAGGGAATTTTGATGTGGTCTGTCTGACTTCAGAGCACTATCAAGGAGGCATGAAACATAGGTACAACGTGAGGCAGTGTTCGAAGCCGCACCCCGACCCCCCGCAGTACCAGGAGAAGATTATGTACATCGCCGCTGAGGAGGTGGTGTGGGATTATTCTCCCAGCAGGAAGTGGGAGCAAGAACTGAAACGTTCACAGAGAGAGGAGAAGTATGGCCATAGCTTCAGTCCAGCCAGGGAGGGTCCACTCTGCAGTGTCCCCCCTTTCCTGCGGGGGTGTGTGTGTGTGTATTTAGGATACACTTCCTTACAGATAACTTCAGAGTGTGCATGTGTGGTATCTTACATTACAGAGGACTTCAAATCTCTCTAAATATCTACACAACGTCGGTGCACTGTCTCTTCCTGCCCCTCTTCCCCCTTCTGGTACCCTATTTTCCACGGGTGTTGCATCCGACTGCACCACTCGGAAGTTGAAGAACGAAACTGCAGCTATGTTTAACATCGGAACCAGTCAGATGCTTCTTTGTCTCCATCCATCACCACCTGTTCTCCTGAGAATCTCAAACCAAAGACACTATGATTTCCTTCTCCAATTGTCTCTCTCACTTTTTATTTACTTATCAAAACTAAAATCTTACTCTGAAAATATGTTTTAAAGTATGGAGTAAGTATCCAACAATCTTACCAGAATGAATATATTTTTTTAAAGAAAGAAGAATTACTTTCTAAGGTGAATAGCTTCTAGTTATGAATAAATTGCATTATTTCAATAAGAAGCTCTTCCATGTGGGACTGTATCTAATTTAATTGTTAAATTAACTAATTTGTGGGTTTTGCTTTTGTTTCCATTTTCTCTAAGTGAAACAGACATATATTTGGATAAAACTGGGATGTTTCTTGGGTCCAAATATAAGAAGGCCGTGTACCGTCAATACGACGACATCACGTTCACAAAGCAAACAAAAAGAAATGGAGATGAGCAGCATCTGGATATACTAGGTATGGGTACAGAGTAAGGCTGGTTCTGGGGTTTGGTCTCCAACCCCTGGAGATGGTGGCACACACTGGGGACGCTGTCAACTTCCATCTCGACAGAGGACGATGCCTGTCATTCTAACTCTAACTGGTTTTCCTGGAAACCGAGTGAGTCCAGCCTTGTCTAATGGAAAGACACTGGAAAATGACCACGGTCAGTTTCGCATTGCCCGGCTTGTTGTACTCAGACTCCGAGATTTCTGGATCTGGGAGGGACCTCGGAAACAGCATTTAGAGATAACTGCATTTAAAGTAAACGGAGGCCCAGAAACTCTTCTATAGTGAGGCGGGGACATCTTTGTTCACATCTGTGTTTAACTTAAACACGTCAATGTTAAGACTTAATTTCATCTCTGTGCAAGAGTGAGAACAAGGAGCCTTTCCTTCCACCCTTGACAGGAAACCTGCACGGCAGCCACACGTAACATTCTCCCAGGTCACGTGGCATTTCCGCAGGTCACATGATGGCTCTGTATGTCAGACGGCTGTCCCATGTTGCACAGTAGTTCCCGCAGTCACGTGGCCTTCCCGCGTGCCCAGTCTTGCTTGGGCCCCGCTGTCTGCGTATCTATCAAAGGACTCGGCATGAGACCCCGAGAAGACGGATTGTCACAGGCGAAGGGGAATGGTTCTTGTTCTTGGCTCCTGGTCAGCGTGTCCCTTTTTGACTTCTGGAGGGAGGGCTGTGCTGTCCAGTTCCCACTGCTTCTAGATGCTTCTCTATCTTTAGTAACAGCAGGATGTTTGTTTTCTCTGGGATTCTGGCTGAATGAAACGCGCAAAGCAACACAATATGACCCTCTAGACTCCATCATCATTTATCCAAAAGAAAACAGGAAATAGAAAAGAAAACACAAACATCGTGTTTGAGAAGGCAGACTCGCCACAGGGGTCAAAGAGGTGTCGGCACGCGTAGGCAGTGTTCGCCGGGGCTCCTCGGGGCTCTGGTTTGGGGGATTATAGCACGGGTTTGAGGAGCGCCCTTTCTGCTTAGTTCATCGCAACATGGTCTCTGTCTTAGAATTTGGGGAGCCAACCGTTCAATCTGCTTCCACATGGGAGATTTATAACAAATGTTGTATCTTCAGTCCTTAGCCTGGGGTGGAAGAGAGAAAGAGGGAAATAAAGGGTCTTCAGGCTGTGAGAGAGAAACTTACCCTGGGTCATAAGAAGGCCTTGCAGCTCCTCCCAATTTTCCACTAGGATGAAGGGGGGAGAGAATTGAAGGCTTAAATGATGAGGTGGCTCAAGAAAGCAGATGTAGTGCTCCATTTCTAAAGTGTGTGTTTTGTATGCATTAACTGATGCTCCTCAAAGTAGGTTTTCTGGAGATGGAGCTTATAAAAATTCCAGGTGACTTCATATTTCCAGGCAAAAGTCATGTTTTAGAATATATGTGCCCTTGTGTGCGTAGCAGCACTATTTACAGTTGCCAAGATCTGGAAACAGCCCTGGTCGGTTTGGCTCAGTGGTTAGAGTGTCAGCCTGTGGTCCAGAGACACTTGGGTTTGGTTCCTGCTAAGGGCACGTACCTCGGTTGCAGTTTGTCCCGGCCCTGGTTGGTCGTGCGGGTGGCAGCCACTCAATGTGTCCCTTTCACGTCGATGATTCTCTCTCTCTCTCTCCCTCCCACTCTATCTGAACAAAAAATGGAAAAATGTCCTCAGGTGAGGATAAAAAAAAAAAAAGATCTGGAAACAGCCCAGTGTCCATCAATAGATGAGTGGATAAAAAAGCTGTGGTACATGTACACAATGGAGTACTATGCAGCTATAAGAAAGAAAGATCTCTTATCCTTTGAGACAACATGGAGGGACCTGGAGAGTATCATGCTAAGTGAAATAAGCCAGTCAGAGAAAGACAAATACAACATGATCTCACTTATTTGTGGAATATAAGGAACAAGGTGGGCTGATGAATGAAATAGACCCAGAGACACAGAAAGGAGTACGGTTCAGACTGACCAACCTCAGAGGAGGGGGGTGGAAGGGCAAGATGAGATGAGATGAACCAAAGAACTTATATGCATGTGTGAGTAACCAATGGACATAGACAACAATGCCAGGGGGTGGGGAGACTGGATGGGGAAGAGGGTGTCTAGGGGGAAAAAGGAGAAACATCTGTAACAAAAATAAATTAATAAAAATTGGGGGGAAAAAAGAAAGAAATTAGCAAAGATCCACTTGTTAAATGTGATTGTATTTCATTCAGCGCATGTTAAGGAAAAGGATAAAAATGTTACTGTGTAAATACTTAGAGGACAGATGACGCTAATTTAAAATAAATAAAGATTACTTACACGTTTTTCTTTTTACATTTGCTAGGTCCTTTAATATTTGCCACTCCTGGCGAGAAAGTCCGAATTATCTTTAAAAACAAAGCCTCAAGACCATATTCTATTTATGCCCACGGAGTAAAATCAGAGAATTTCCCTATCATTCCAACACAGCCAGGTAACTGCTTTGGAAGAAAGTAAAGCCTCTTAGCTTTTATACAGGACTGTGGTGGTAATGTTCTTTCTTAAATGCAGGTGTAGTTCCAAATGAGAAAGACCAGTGGACTAGTCAGAAGGGCCTGAAAACTTGGTAGAGCAGTTCCTTTGGCAAACTGAGTTTGCTTCCAGGAGGGGGCACCCTGTGCAAAACTCTCCAGGGTACACAGTCTCTGCTCTAAGGCCACCCCCCTTGCACCTGTCCACGGGTCCAGCGGCCATGTGTTCTTATATTCAATCTCCCTAAGGCAAATGCTAAAGTAGGAGTTGGGTATGAGATGCAGTGTGTGAGGGAGGGGCAGGGGTAGAGTTGAGGTGCTACGAGGAAGTGACGACCCTCATGTTCTCATTCTCACCACTATAGAGAATGCCATTCAGCGTTCTCAACGTGGAAGATAATGAAAAGCTTTTCATGTAAATGCCCAGAAAGCTGACTCTGAAACGTGATTTGTGTGCAAGGAGTACCCTTGGGATCCATGACAGTGGGAAGGAAGACGAGGGAGCAGTATTGAGCAGGGGGAGAGGTTGAACAGAGATGCGGCCTCAGTAGAAGTCACCACCGGCCCTACAAGAAATTCTGACGATAGGGTGGCCCTGAGTTGTCCTGAGTTGGGGTGAGAACTGGCTCCTTATGTCCCTGTGCCACCAGACTGGTTCCATGCCAGGGGCTGGTTCTGCCCCAGCATGGCCTGGGACATTTCCAGTGTCAGGCAACCTCCAGGTTCCTGCCTTATGCAGGAAAGATTTCAAGAGCGAGTCAGAGAGCAAATGAAAACAAGTTTTATTCAGGTAGAAACCGAGAGAGAGGCCAGGACACAGGGCCGTTGTGAAAGAAGTGGAAGTCTGAGTCTCAGGAGACACAGGCCAACCCGCAAGGGAGCTGTCTGAGCACGAGGCCAGTCAGTTCCTGGGAGTTCGTGTGTTTCCAAGGGTAGGTTATTTCTGAACTGTCATGCCCAATTCTGACTCTGCCTTCTTGTTGGGGGGAGGGGGTCTTGTTACTAACATGGTCCTTTCCAGAGTGTCATGGTGGTTCACAATGGAATAGTAAAATAGGTGTGAGTTGCCATTACAGTGATGGTATAAGGAGCTTTGGGGTCAGTCTCTGGTCAGTTTTCCTCCCTCTTGGAGTCATCTGGTATTAGTCAGTCCCTACTGTTGATTTCTGTGACCACCTCAGGGGTTTCCTGCATGAACTGTTTCCCTTTGACCGTGAGCGGGGCTCCCATGAGGGGGCCTGGCGGTTCGTTGGCCTGTGATGTCAGCTCCTACTTTCTCCCTCCGCCTGTCCGAAGTTTCCCCGAACTCCTTCCTGCCCCGCCTCCCCTGCAGAGTCACGGGTGCAGGCCCGGGCAAGGTGGGTAGGCAGCCGGCGGAGCCGTCTTCCGTTGTTCAAGAGGGACCTGAGCGGGGTGTCCAGAGTGTCACCCGTATCTCCCCACAAAAGCAAAAAGTTCTAGAAATTGAGGGTGTCAAGGAAAGAGGCAAAATCAAAGAGGGAAACTTTATGGGGCACAGGGAACGAAGGTAGATTTCGATGTGGTCGGAATATTCCCCCTTGATTTGAAAAGCCAGCTCCTGTGGTGGCACCAACATGAATCCCCTATGAAGGGTGTTTGCGAGTCAGTACTCGGGACTGGTCAGGGAAGGCTCACCTTCCGTGTGCTCCACAAACCCTCCCGAGAGCCTGCTGCACCCAGGCAGCGTGGTGCACTGGACGGGGAGGGCGAGCAGTAAGCAGATTGTTAGCAGTTTGGAAGCAGGGAGGCTGGGGAGAGGCTTGGTTAGTGGAGGATGAAAACGATGTCACAGGTGCTTGGGAAAGTTAATTTTAAGCGTCTGGAAGTGGGCGATGGAGGATTACACAGTGAGGAGTGAGGGTGGGGCATCAAAAGAACTTTCCTGCAAGAGTCCGGGAGATTCCAGTTCTGCAGGGGTAATTCAAACAGCCATGGGGTGGGAAGGAGGCTTATGTAGTCCTCAGACTGGGAGGTCCAGAGCTGGGATTCAAAGCAAGTCCGTTGCCTGAGTTATCGTCACTACAATAAATGTTGAATGGATGAATGAATGAATGAGATATTTAATCATTGTCATTTTTCAATGGCAGAATCACTGTCAGGTTTCAATCTAGTAGCCCTGACAACGTAATGCCCACCACTGATGGTGGCGTTGGACGTACGCTGTGGCCCAGGTAATGCAATGTCAAGAGTTCCATCTGCATCGTCTGGGCTAATCCCCAAATCCCCATCTCATGTGCCTGAGGAAGCAAGAGCTCAGAAATGTAGATACACTAAGGTCACAACGCTGGGAGCAGTAGAGCCAGAGAGGAGAAAAAAAAAAGAGGAATCTGCAACCAGTTACCTGCATAGCTTCAGCATCGTTGTCTGGGTCTCCATGAAGACATGCGATTTAAAAGGTTCCATATTAATATGCTGTATTTGCTTATTTTAGGAAACATCCAAACATATATTTGGCAGATTCCTGAAAGAACCGGTCCTACCTCGAAGAGCTTTGAATGCATACCTTGGTTTTACTATTCCACTGTGAACCCGGTGAAGGTAAACTTGAAATCAAATCTGTGTTTCATCCTATCTCCTCTTAGAAATTATAATGGAAGGAAGAATGAGTTTATTTTCTGTTTTCCAAAAAAAATCTTAGTTCTGTATAAACTTTCTATTAAGTAACCTAAATGCTGCATTTTTCAAGAGCAAAGTAAATTATTATACTATGACTACTTAGATTTATGACAGTTTTCAGAATGTCACTTGGAATATCCTCTTCTTTGTTTCATTGAGTTGGATCTGAGTCACAGAAAATAAAGTACAGAGATTAAATTCTATGATTAATGAGAAATAAATGTATACATATTGCTTTTTTTTTAACCTTCAACTCTGGAGTTATAGTTTATTTGCATTTACACACACACAAAAAAGAGTTCCTGCTTTGGACTTCTACTTATTTTGGCCATTTTCTGCCTGGAACAAAAGTCTGCTCAGACATTCAACCCAGAATCAAAATCAAAATAAAGCAAGACTCCCAGCCGGAGAAGGCTGTGTGGACGGGGACATCACAGGAGAAGTGATCTGAGAGCTTTAGATATCTCTGCCAACCAACTCCAAAGCCAGGAAACTCGAATTAAAAGCAAAGTCCTGTTCTTCCATTCAGTGTTCAAAAATAGCGCTTAAATCCCCTGAGGAGTGTGTCTAAAACCCCTTTCAGGGATGTGTTGTTCTCATTTGATTTCAACTCCAGTAAGTGAGAGGAGACCATTTCTCTTTGATCAAGGACGTAACATGTCGTGTTTCTTATTCTCAGACTTAGAACCCTAAACATTAAGAACTTGGGATCTGACCTCACGAGAACTAAAACTCAATTCCACTCTTTTTATTGACTGTGGCAAATTTTTCCTTGGGGGCGTGACTGATAATCTTGCTTTGTCTCTTCAGGATCTTAACAGCGGGCTGGTAGGCCCTTTGATAGTGTGTCGCAGACACAGCAAACCTAGCATCGTTCACCGTGTTCTCCACTTCATGATTTTTAATGAGAACGAATCCTGGTACTTTGAAGACAATATCAACACCTATTCCCTAGACCCGAGCAAAGTAGACAGGAAGGATAAGACTTTTGCCCTCAGCAACCAAATGCACGGTATGTCCGCTGACCGGCCGCCGACTGTAGCTGTGGGTTGTTTCCCACAGACGGAGCAGGTGAAGCTTCCAATTTGTCAGGATCAGCACAGTCCGGAGAACATGGTCCCAGAGAGCTGGGCATGTGGCACATGGACCAGGAGTCCACCGACTTTTTGCTCAAAGGACCGAGAGTAGAATTGGGGCTGGCGGCGGCTGCGGGGACCGAGGCCCCATCCGTCTCTGCCGTCCTCCCCCCGCCAGGGTAGCACAATAGCCCGGTAGACAAGAGACCGACAAACGGAAGTGGACATGAGCCCACACAACTTCATTTATGAACGCTGAAATTCGTGTGTCATGTAATTTTCACACATCAGGAAATATTTTGTTTTTTAAATATTTTTTCAGTCACTTAAAAATGTGAAAACCATTCTTTGCTCTTAGGCCATCGAAAATGCAATGAGCCCCGCCTGGTTTGGCTCAGTGGTTAGTTCTGGCCCAAGGACCAAAGGGTTGCGGGTTTGATTCCCGGTCAAGAACACATACTTGGGTTGCATGTTCCGTCCCAGCCCCGGTTGGGGTCATGCAGGAGGCACCCAATGGATGTGTCTCTCGCACATCCATGTTTCTCTCCATCTCTCCCTCCTTTCCACTCTATTTAATAATTAATAGAAAAATATCCTCAGGTGAGGATTAACAAAAAAATTTGTAAAAAGGAAAAGAAAAATGCAATGAATGGGCTGGACCTGGCCTGTGGGCTGTGACCCCTACCTGAGTAGTGTGACAATTGACTATACCTTTGGAGTCATGCGGGCAGTGGGCACCAAGACCACCAGCTGCCATCTCTGGAGGGCCTTGCCAAACACTTTTTCAAACACTTCACCTGGATGAACACAGGGACAGTGGGGTTGGAGGTAAGCTGGAGAGCGCATGCCCCATGCTCTCTTCCCCACCCCATTACCCAAGGACCTTCACAGGCAGAACTTTTAAAATCCCCATGCCTGTCAACAAAATTCTTTTTCTCTTTTTCTTTATTGATTTTAGAGAGAGAGGAAAGGAGAGGGAGAGAGAGAGGTTGAAACATCAATGGGAGAGAACATCAATTGGCTGCCTCCTATGTGCCCCCCACTGGGGATCAGGCCCACAACCTGGGCAAGTGCCCTGACCGGGAATCGAACCAGCGACCTCTTGGTGCAGGGTCCACGCTCAACCACTGAGCCATACCGGCCGGGCTGAACAAAATTCTTTTATAGGTTGATTATGACAAGGCTCGTTCTGTTCATGACCTTCTCCATCTAGAATCATAGCAATAAGACAATTATTCAAATAGAAAGCACACCAACAATCTCAATCACAATCTTACTGAATCAAGTCATTAGGAATCTTAGGGAAATGACTAGGTAAGGGATCCTTAACGAAGGCAAATCTGAATATGATCATTTCTAATTTCTTAGTTTTTCCCCTGCAAGAAATATATGTAAACTTAGCATTAATTTAAGGACTACCTCCGCTCTGATTATCCTCTCAGTAGGCATCACAGAGGGCACACGTACTGTACTGGCCCTAAGGAGATGCACAGGCCCATCTTCTCTCCAGTGGTTTGCGGTGGGGGTCTGCAGACCGTGCATTGTTACAGTGCAAGGCTGACTTGGGGGGATGCTATAACAGAAACAGAAACCCAGGGCTGTCTTTTAAATTCCTATTTGAAGATCAAGAGAGGTTTCACAAAGGGAAGCAACATTTGCATTTTTAAGGATGCACAATAATCTGTCTAGCAGAAAAGAAGGGAAATGTAAACTAAGGTACTAAGAAAAAGTCAACAGAATTGTGGAAGCCCACGGATACCCTGTTAAGATGTAGACTTGATCTAAATGAGGGCTTCTCACACTTGCCTCTATGGACATTTTGGGCCAGATAACTCTTTGTTGCGTAGGGCTGGCCTGTGCATTGTAGGATGTTTAGCAGCATCCCTGGTCTCCATCCCGTAATTGCCAGTAGCCCCGTCCCCCACATTGTGGCAACTAAAAATGTCTCCAAGCATTGCCAGTGTCCCGCTGGAGGCACCAAGTGCCTGAGCGAGGGCGATGTGGAACAGAGGGTTAGCAGTCCTTCAAGCCCCTGTGCGCAAGTGTGGTCCATGGTCAGCAGCGCAGCACCATTTGGAAGTTTGTCAGAAATGCAGAATTTTAGGCTTCACGGACCTAGTACATCATAATCTGCATTTTAAAAACTTTTTATTGAATGTGTTGGGGTGACATTGGTTAGTAAAATTAAATAGGTTTCAGGGATACAGTTCTATAACACATCATCTGTATATTGTATTGTGTGTTCACCACCCAAGTCAAGTCTCCTTCCATCACCATTTAGCCCCCCTTTACCTTTGCCTGAGGAGACATATCAGCAAAAATATTGCTCGAAAGATGTGTGGAATTTCACTGCCTGTGTTTTCCTTTAGGAAGTTTATAGTTTCATGACTCACATTTAAGTCTTTTATTCATTTTGAGTTTATTCTTGTGTATGGAGTTAGTTGGTGATCAAGTTTCATTTTTTTGCATGTAGCTGCCCAATTTTCCCAACACCATTTATTGAAGACACTGTCTTTACCCCATTGCATGTTCTTGCCTTCTTTGTCAAATACAAATTGACCATAAAGGCGTGGATATGTTACTTGGCTCTCTATTCTGTTTCATTGATCTATATGCTTGTTCTTATGCCATTACCATGCTGTTTTGATTACTATGGCCTTGGAGTATAGTTCGAGATCAGGTAGTGTATACCTCCGACTTTGTTCTTTCTCAAGATTGCTGTGGCTATTCAGGGTCTTTTGTGATTCCATATAAGTTTTTGGAGTATTTATTCTATATTCTTAAGACATGCCATTAGTATTTTAATAGGAAATGCATTGAATCTATAGATTGTTTTTGGAGTATGGACATTTTAATTATGTTAATTCTTCTAAGCTATGAACATGATATATTCTTCCACTTATTTATATATTTTTCAGTTTCAGTAATGTTTTAAGTTCAGATCTTTTATCTCCTTGGTTAAATTTATTCCTGGGTACCTTATTTTTATTGTAACAATAGTAAATGGGATTTTCTTAATTTCTCTTTCTGATAGTTTATCGTTGGTATATAAAAATGCCACTGATTTCTGAATATTAATTTTGTATCTAGATACTTTACCAAATTCATTTATCAGTTCTAGTAGTTTGTTGGCGAAGTCTTCAGTGTTTTCTATACAGTATCATGTCATCTGCATATAATGGCAGTTTTACTTCCTCCTTGCCAAGTCATATGCATTTTATTTTTTCTTCTTGTCTGATTGCTGTGGCTAGGACTTCCAGTACCATGTTGAATTAAAGTGGTAAAAGCAGACATCCCTGTTTTGTTCCTGTTCTTAATGGAAACAGTTTTAGTTTTTGCCCATAGAGTATGATATTGGCTGTAGGTTTGTCATATATGGCCTTAATTATGTTGATATATGATCCCTCTATTTCCACTCTATGAGAGCTTTTATCTTAAATGGGTGCTGGATTGTATCAAATGCTTTTTCTGCATCTATTGATAGGATCATGTGATTTTTATCCTTCATTTTGTTTATGTGGTGTATTTAGTTTATTGATAAGTAGATATTATACCAACCTTGCATCTCTGGAATAAATCTCACTTGATCATGGGTTATGAACTTTCTAATGTATTGCTGGATCTGGTTTGTTAATATTTTGTTGAGGATTTTAGCATCTATGTTCATTGTGGATATTGGCCAACAATTTTCTTTTTTTTGTAGTGTCATTATCTAGTTTTAGAAATACAGTAATGCTGGCCTCTCAAATTTTTTGAAATAGTTTGAGAAGAATAGGTGTTAATTCTTTAAATGTTTGGTAAATTTGCCTGTGAAGCCATCTAGGCCCAGATTTTTGTTTGCTGGGAGTTCTTTTTATTCTTTATTATTGCTTCTATTTCATTAGTTGTAATTGGTTTATTTAGATTTTCTGATCCTTCCTGATTCCGTTTTGGAAGATTGTATGTTTCTAAAAATGTATACACTTTACCCAAGTTGTCCAATTTGTTGGCATATAGTTGTTTCTAATATTTTCTTACAATTCTTTGTATTACTGTACTGTCCATTGTTAATTCTCCTCTTTTATTTCTGATTTTATTTATTTGGATCCTCTCTCTTTTTTCTTCATAAGTCTGGTTAAAGATTCATCCATGTTGTTCTTGTTTGTATTTTCAAAGAACCAGCTCTTGGTTTAATTGATTTTTACACCATGTTTTTAGTTTCATTGTCATTTATTTCCACTCTAGTCTTTATTATTTCCTTCCTTTTACTTACTCTGGGCTTTGTTTGCTGTTCTTTTTCTAGTTCTTTTAGGTATAGGATTAGATGTGTTATTGAGATTTTTCTTGTTTCTTGAGGTAGGCCTATAATTTTTCTCTCAGGACTGCTTTCACTGTGCACCACAGATTTTGGGTTGTTGTGTGTTCATTTTCATTTTCATTTGTCTCCAGGTAACTTTTAGTTTTTTCCTTGACTTCATTGTTCATCCATGCATAGTTTAATAGCATCTTCTATAGCCTCAATGTGTTTGAGTGCTTTTGTTTTGTTTTGTTTTTGTTGTTGTAATTGATTTTTAGTTTCGTACCATTTTTGTCAGAGAGGATGCTTGATAGGCTTTCAATCTTCTTGAATTTATTAAAGCTTATCTTGTGTCCTAGCATTTGGTCTATCTTAGAGAATGTTCCACATGCACTTGAAAAGAATGTATGTTCTGCTGCTTTGGGATAAAATGTTCTGTAAATATCAATTAAATCCTTCCAGTCCAGTATGTTGTTTAAGGTCACTATTGCCTTGTTGATTTTCTGTCTGGAAGTTCTATCCATTGATGTCAATGGGTGTTCAAATTCCCAACTATGACAGTATTACTGTTGCTCTCTCCCTTACTGTCCACCAAGATTTTCTTTATATATTTAGGTGCTCCTATGTTGTGTGCATATATGTTTATAAAGGGTTTTATTCTCTTGTTGGATTGGTCCCTTTAGTTTTATGTAATGTCCTTCTTTGTCTCTTGTTATGGCCTTTGTTTTGAAGTCAATTTAGTCTGATATAAGAGTTGCTAACTCAGCTTTGTTTGTTTGTTTGTTTTCACTTTCATGGATTTTTTTTTTTTTTTTTATCCCTTCACTTTCATTCTGTGTATCTTTTGTTTTGAGGTGGGTCTACTGTACACAGCTTATATATGGGCCATGTTTTTTAATCTATTTAGCTGCCATGAGTCTTTTGATTAGAGCATTTAATCATTCACATTTAAAATTATTATTGACAGGTACTTATTTATTGCTATTCAATCTTTATACCTATGTTCTCTCTATATATAGTTCTTTTCTTCTTTCTTCTTAAAAAAAGCCTTTTAACATTTCTTACAATACTTGTTTGTTGGTAATGAACTTCTTTAGCTTTCTTTTCTGTTTGAGAAGCTCTTTATTTCACCTTTAATTTTAAATGATAGCCTTGCTGGATAGAGTGGTGTTGGTTGCAGGTCTTTGTTTTTCATCACTTTGAATATTTTATTTCAATCCCTTGAGGCCTGAAGTGTTCTGTTGAGAAATTAGCTGACAGCCTTATGGAAGCTTCCCTGTAGGTAACTAACTATCTTTCTCTTGCCATCTTTAAGATTATCTCTTTGTCTTTAACCTTTGCCATTTAAATTATGATATGTTTTGTTGTGGGCCTCTTTTAATTTTTCTTGATTGGCATTCTCTGTGCTTCCTGAACTTGTGTGACTTTTTTTTTTCCCCCATCAATTTAGGGAAGTTTTCAGCCATTATTCCTTCAAACAAGTTCTTGATCTCTTGCTCACTCTCTTCTCCTTCTGGTATGGTACCCCTATGATGCAGATGTTGTTACATTTGATATTGTCCCAGAGATCCCTTAGACTTTCTTCAGTTTTTAAAATTTGTTTTTCTTTTGGTTGCTCTGCTTGGGTCCTCACTGTTATCTTGTCCTCTAAATTGCTGATTCAGTCCTCTGCTTCATCTAACCTGCTGTTGATTCCTTTGAGCATATTCTTCATTTCAGACATTGTATTTGTCATTTCTGACTGGTTTCTTTTATTTTATTTTTTATGTCATTTTTAATGCTTACTATCTCTGTTTAATTTCTCACTGAGATCATCCATTCTTTCCCTAAGTCCTTGAGCATCCTATAACCATTGTTTTAAACTCTGGTTATCTCCGTTGTTTGCATTTAATTTAATTTTTTTTGAGAGAGAGAGAGGAAGGGAAAGAGATATAGAAACATCAATCAGCTGCCTCCCTCACACACCCACTGGGGATTGAGCCCACAGCCCTGACCAGGTATCAAACCAGGACCTCAGTCCATGGGACAATGCTTAATCCACTGAATCACACCAGCTGGGCTCATTTAATTCTTTTTCTGGGGATATCTCTCCTTTTTTTCATTTGGGTCATATTTCTTTTTCTCCCCATTTTGTCTGCCTTTTTGTGTTTGACTCTGTGTATTAAGTAGGTCTGCCATGACTCTCAAGCTGGTTCTCGGGGCTCTCTGATGTAGGTGCCTTGTGGATCTCAGTGGCACAATTTTCTCGACCACCTGTGCTAGGTTCTCCAGAAATGTTTCTTGTGTGGGTTTTGTGCCCCCTCCTGTTGTAGTTGAATCTTGAATGCTGTTGACCCATTCATGGGTGGAGTTAACCCTCAGGCTGGCTGACTATTAGGATAGACTTCACTCACCATGTATGAGTCACTGTTTAGGAGCTGTGCCCTGAGGCAGAGTTGTTCCCAGCAGGTTATGGTGCCTGCTGGAGTCCACTTTTGCTGTGCCATTTGTGTGGCTAGTTGGGTTGGGTTCTGGTATGGTTTGAAGCCCACCACTGGTTGTGTTGGTTCGGGGGCACTTGGATGGAGTTCTGGTGCAGGTTGATGTCAGACATTGTATGTAACTGTCCTTGGGCTACTTGTCTGGAGTTACCACGCTAGTCACTGATTGTGGTTGTGTCTACTGGGCCTGGATGTGTGGGAGAGGGCTCAAGCTGTGTACAAGGGTTGGCTTCCTCAAACTCTGGGGGCAGATCAATAAAAGGTCCAAGGCTCTCTGAGGTCCACATCCAACTGTCAGCTACTTCAACACTCTCTGGGGTTGGCTGCACTTCCTCCAGAGCCTTTTGAAGGGATTGTAGAGTGGGCCCAACTGGCAGTGCCTCACTGCCCCTTTCCGTGGTGCAAGCTCAGCAGAGTGCAGAGCTGGGCAGGGAGGACAGGACGAGTGGGTCTCTTACTTGAGGCAGGTGGTCAAGCACCCAGTGGGGAGAATGTGGCCCCCACTCCAGAGCCATACCGCTCAGCCTTTGCTAGAGTCTCCAGCTCTGGCTCCCCCAGCAGGAGCACACTACTCTTCCAGGTTGGTGCAGCCAGCTGTCCTCACTGCAGGGCAAGCTCAGCAGGGCGGGGCCGCCAGGACTTTGAAAAACAGATCAAGATAGTCCTTTGTTGGGGTGGCACCAGCCAAGCCTGAGGGAGGAGAGTGAGCTTTGTGCCTCCCCTTAGCTGGGTAGCCACTCGGGCCAGACCAGAGCCTCTGAGGGAGGTGTGCTCTGAAAGTCCCAGTTCTGAGTGCTGTTCCCTTCCCTACCTCCCACCCTGACCCTCCTACTCTAACCCTGTGGATCTCAGCTCAGCAGGGCGGGGCCACGGGGACTTGGGAAGATAGAACAAAATGGTTTCCCATTGCGGGTAATGCTGGGAGAACAGGAGCGCCCGACCCTGGGAAGGCGGTGCCTGAGGGCGGTGTGGGATAGGGACTCGGGACAGGACTTCAGCAGCTGACCCTCCAGGTTCCTCTCTGGGCCACACCGCCCAGGTCTCCTGTTACGACTCCCTTGTGCCCTGGGTTGCCTTTTCTCTACTGGTGGGGCCCGAGAGCGCTCCTGTGTGCTGGCCCGTGAGGAGAGCACCCGGGGTTCCAGCAGACCCCTCCCCGTCCTGGTGGGCGGAGGCCCTGTGAGCGTCACCCCACATGCTGCGCAGCTCCGATCCCGCCAGGTGCTCTGGGTTGGGGGCCCAGCCAGGTGCTCTGGGTTGGGGGCCCAGCCAGGTGCTCTGGGTTGAGGGGCCAGCCAGGTGCTCTGGGTTGAGGGGCCAGCCAGGTGCTCTGGGTTGGGGGCCCAGCCGGGTGCTCTGGGTTGGGGGGCCCAGCCGGGTGCTCTGGGTTGGGGGTCCCAGCCGGGTGCTCTGGGTTGGGGGTCCCAGCCGGGTGCTCTGGGTTGGGGGTCCCAGCCGGGTGCTCTGGGTTGGGGGTCCCAGCCGGGTGCTCTGGGTTGGGGGTCCCAGCCGGGTGCTCTGGGTTGAGAGGCCCAGCCGGGTGCTCTGGGTTGGGGTCCCAGCCGGGTGCTCTGGGTTGGGGGTCCCAGCCGGGTGCTCTGGGTTGGGGGTCCCAGCCGGGTGCTCTGGGTTGGGGTCCCAGCCGGGTGCTCTGGGTTGAGGGGCCCAGCCGGGTGCTCTGGGTTGGGGGGCCCAGCCGGGTGCTCTGGGTTGGGGGCCCAGCCGGGTGCTCTGGGTTGGGGGGCCCAGCCAGGTGCTCTGGGTTGGGGGGCCCAGCCAGGTGCTCTGGGTTGGGGGGCCCAGCCAGGTGCTCTGGGTTGGGGGGTCCAGCCAGGTGCTCTGTGTTGAGGGGCCCAGCCAGGTGCTCTGGGTTGGGGGTCCCAGCATAGGGATGAGACCCACGCTCCCTGGGGGGACTTCTGCAGTTGAGATACTTTTCCGGCTTCTACGCTGCCTGAGGAGGGTGCAGGGGCCAGCCCTCTCCTCATTTCCGCCTTTCTCTCTAGTCTCTACGCGGCTTCTTCTGTAAACCCCGGGACAACACTCCTGTTCATCTGAACTTCAGTTGCTCATTCAGGTCAACTGCTCTGTATTTAACTGTAAATCATTCCGGTGCCCAGAGGAGGTGAGCGCAGCTTCCGCCTCTTCCACAGCCATCCTGAAGCTGCCCCATTATATTGTGTACAAGGTGCTTTTAAAAAAATACACACCCACACCTTTCTTAAAATCCCTTTTTGAACCTAATAATCTCTGTCTACCCACAGCAATTAACGGAAGACTGTTTGGAAATAATCAAGGTCTGACATTTCACGTTGGTGACGAAGTGAATTTTTATCTTATTGGCATGGGGAGTATGTTCGACCTGCACACAGTTCACATTCATGGCCACAGCTTTGAGTACACGGTAAGAGCCCCGGGGAGCTCCGTTTCATCACGTGGCCAGGTAACAGGCTGGAAAGGAGAGGGCCGGAACTGAGGTTCAATGCACACCATCTCTAGGGTATTGGAGGCAAGTAAAGAGTTACACATTTAGCTCTTGATAGCTCATGGACATTGGATAAATGCCTGTGCATTTCTTACTCCCACCTCATTTGACTCAATGAGTAAATGAGACATTGATAATCATCTTTAGTTTTACCCTTTCTATCCCATTTTTTTAAAATTTTCAAACTATCAAACATAAAACACAAGGAAGCCCTGGCCGGTTTGGCTCAGCGGTTAGAGCATCGGCCTGCGGTCCAGAGAGACCCGGGTTCGGTTCCCGCTAAGGGCACGTACTTCGGTTGCAGTTTGTCCCCAGCCCTGGTTGGTCGTGCGGGTGGCAGCCACTCGATGTGTCCCTTCACGTCGATATTTCTCTCTCTCCCTTCCTCTCTCTCCCTCCCACTCTATCTGTACAAAAAAAAAAAATGGAAAAATGTCCTTGGGTGAGGATAAAAAAATAAATAAATAAATAAAACACAAGGAAAATACCATGAGCCCTCATATGCATTTTGCCACATTTACTTTCTTTATATATATTTTTCTGAACGCCATTGACAGCAAATGACAAACATCATGACTCTTCACTCCTAGACTAAAGCATGAGGAATGAGAACACTCTCTGCCCCGATCACAATAACATTATCACCCAAAGTTAACCTTAATTCAATAATATAGTCTAATGTACAATCCATTAAAATATTCTCAAGTGTCCCCAAATTGCTATTTATAACTGTTTCCTTCAGTCCAAGAGCTAATCATTTATACACATACAAAAATGACATTTACTTTCTGAAGGATCCAGGCCGGTTGTTATGTAGAGTGCTCCATATTCTACATCGGTTTGACAGTTTCCTCAGGATGGAATCCATGTCAAACATCTTTGGCAATAACACGCCACAGGTGATATTGTGAACCTCTCATGTCACATCAAAAGGGCCCTGACGTCAACCGGTTCTAATATTGGTGAAGCTAAGTTTGATATTTTTATTAAGATAATGTGCACCATTCTCTCCATTTTAGAAGTATCATCTTCCTATTGTCATTAGTAAATAATCTGTGAAGTGATTTTTTAAAATGTATTTTATTCTCCAACAATTTTTCACTTTGTACTTTTTAAATGGTTCCATTGGTGATCTTTGCCCAAATCCACTTTTACAGTGGGGGTTACAAATCGTAGCTTTCTGCTCCTATCATTCCTTCAACTTTGTTTATCAAACAAGAATGTGGTCCTGGTGTCCACCGGGTTTATGGTACCGTTTTTACTGGTAGTACCATCTGTTTCTATTTATGTATTCTTAGTCTCTCTGTGTCTTCTGTCTGCATTGCTTGCTCTCACCCCATCTATCATATTTTTTTATAATTGTTTTTTCTGACCACTTTCGATTGTCCATGTCTCTCCATTACAATAAGTACTTTCCATTTTATCCTTCCCCCTTTTCATTTCAATTTAGTATCTTTTATTTACGTAAGGAGCATTGTCTTTATTTTTCATCCTAATCCTTTATGGAAATATTAACGTAACATTTAGGACCAATTGTATTTTTATGCATTGACACCTCCAACGTTTAATTCAACTACTTGGCATAATGCAATCCATCTTCACATAAAGGTTCCCGGATTCTAGATGGACTATTCCCACAGCCTCTGTAATGCTCAGGGCCCATCGTAGAAAATATGGAAATGAGTGTGCAAGACTTAATTTACACAACGCTTTACTGGTGTGTGGCTTTCTTTCCTACCCTTTAGTAAGCAAACGTATTCCTGTTATACGTTTGAGAGGGCTTAAAAACACCTTCATTATAGGGAATTTTATATAATAAAGTAGATAGAATAATACAATAAACCCCTTTACCCATCATCCAGGTCCAACGATTACGACCTTTCTATACTTCCATCCACACTCCCATATATCCAGGAAAAGCCTAGATATTAGGATTCTTATTAAGCCTCTAACTGTTAGTGTTTGACTTTGAAAATTAGAACAAAATAACAACTTAGAATGTGTTTCTAGTTCTCTCCAGTACACTTGACGTGCAGTGCAGGTCAGCTAAGCCAACGTCTCTGATGCTCCCAGAGCCGTGCTGAGTGTGTGGAGACAAAAGGAAATCAAAGAGCTGCCTTCCGGGGACCACATCCGCATTAGTGGTTATGTCACCGGGGTCAAACTAAGTGAAACATATGCTAACCTCTCTCTAATGGTCATTACAGCCTTTATTCAGTATAGCTTATGTGCCAGGCGCTATGCTTAGTACTTCGCATGGATTTCTTGTTGGCCTCATGACTTCCCTGTGAGACAGGAGAAAGAAAGGGTTAACAAGATAAAGAACTTTCCTGCAAGCAGCAAGTAATAAAAGTATCATTTCAACTCCTGGCACTCCTGCCTGAACCCCTCACTCTTAACCTCTTCACAGAACTGCCTTCCGTAAGAAGGACCCCATGGAGCCCCGTACCACCAGCTCTCGGCACTAAACTCACAGAGGACCACAGTGTGTTCTCCTACCCTTGAGGTGGAATTTAAATAGTCCAACATTTGTGCAGCTGCTGGGCTTTACTCCCTGGGACTCCAGGGGGCAGCAGCAGCCCACCGGATTACTAACCTGGTCTTGGGACCAGCCAGCCAGTGGCCTCCTGTTCCCTAAGGCTGCAGTAGCCCTCGGGGCCAGAGCTCCAGGCCTTGCACATTTCCTGGTGCCTTGGACAGTGCCAATTCTTAGTTAAAGTTGTTCCACAGTGTTCTCTGTATTTTCTGACATCTTATACCTGTAGCTTGTCACCAATATTATTGTCACCTTAGATGCAAAATTGACTCCCCAATAGCAGTGACCGGAGCCCGCACTTTGCACTTTGTGTCCAAGGGGAAATGGGTCCACCGTCCTCCTGGGCACCTTCCAGCATCTCCAGGGAGTCTCGAGAGCCTACATTTCTTCTTCTAGTCGCCTCCGACTCTCGTTTCCTGCTTCTGTTCAACCCTTGCCTCTCACCTGCTGTGGCTGCTGTTTCCTCATCTCTCCGTGGGGGTCGAAAATGGAACACCCCCCCCCCCAAGCCACCACAATATCAAGGGCATTGTGGGTCACAGACTGTTGGTGGAAGTTTGAGGGTAAATGAGGGCTTTTTTTTTCAATACTGCACAGTGCGAGCACTAAGCATTTGACAGGAGATGCTCTCGTCTTCAATTACCCCTTCACCGTGCGTCACGGAGAACCTCTGGCTCGCCTGCTTTGTACTCTCGTGCTCGGGACTTCGTTCTCTACATTCTTCCTCTCCAGACTCTCTTGACACCTCTTCTCTCTCCAGATTACTCTGGACCCCATCTTGAGCTACACACCCCAATACATCCCCCTCCACAGAGCTGGCATTTTATTATGCGGAGCACTACATCTCCCTCTGGAACTCTCTTTCCAAACCATTTGAGCCAGGAGGACCCTGGGCTTCATCTTTCCACATCAAGGTGGTCTCCTACCTATCCGGTTCTCCTGCTGGGACGAGAAATCAGCCAGGAAGGCGCTGGCCCTCAGCCCCACCCCCGGAAGGCAGATGGCGCAGCGGCAGCCCGCTGAGCACCTTTCCTTCCCGTAGCCACGAGTTTTCCTGATCGCTTACACCCCGGGAGTGATCTTCCCATCACCAGCATCCCTAGTTAGAAACACTTCGGTTAAAACCTCTGGGAGGTGTGAGACCAGATGTTCTCTGAAATCTAGAGCGTTCTTCTGTAGGAGATGCTGACAAGGTCTCTAACCCCAGCACTGCTGCAGAGACCCTGTTAGTGAGGTGTTCTCCCTGTGGCCTGTCCCTGCAAGGTTCTGGGACGTGCTCCTCCTCCAGACCCGCAGTTGTGCTCAGACACCAGCGCTAGTTCTTTCTGATCGTCATCTAACCACGTCTGTGAGACCTGGGCAGTCACAGCAAACGGGGAGGTGTGTCAAGGGCTGGCTGAGACCGTGTGTAAGCCACTTAATGGCGTTTTGTCTCCTGGTTAAGGATTCTGGACTGTTCCGCTCTGACGTTTATGACCTTCCTCCTGGGGTCTACAAAACTGTGAAAATGTACGCAAACGACGTGGGGACCTGGTTATTTCATTGCCACGTTAGTGGGCACATTGCTTCTGGAATGGAAAGCACCTACACTGTCGTGAAGTGAAAGGTAAGCTAAATTAGTAGAAGTAATCAAGTGTAAATAAACTTGATGTTTCCATAAGGATTTCTAATCCATTGACCCTTTATGTGATGTGACCCCTCTTTCATTCAAAGATTATTGTTCTGAGATAAAAAAACAACAACACTGGTTTATTATTATTATTTTCTATTTTTATTTTTTTATTATTATTATTTTTATTAATTAATTTTTGTTACAGATGTTTCTCCTTTTCCCCCCACTGATTCCCCCCTCCCCTCCCTCCCTGCCCTGTCCCCAGATTGTTGTCCATGTCCACTGTTCATGCATACATGCATATATATATATATATATATATATATATTTTTTTTTTTTTTAATGAAACTTATGTAACTATGCCTGATCTGATAAAAGCTACTCTGGAGTGGAATGTAATTTCTAGATTCATATAATAAATGCATACGGACTTGGACAGACAGTTCATAGAACATGAAATACAAATGACAATTGAAGCTATAAAGATGTTTTACTTGCTAATAATCAAATCACTTAAAAATCACATTTAAACAACAGCAAGATAACTTTTTTAGTGAGGAAGCCATAAATTTGGCAAAGATTTCATTTTTCAATTTTCCAGTCAATAACAGTATGTACTGGGCATACTTTGGGGGAAGTATAGAAAGTTCCCACAGCCCTCGAGAGATGCAAAATAATAATTCTAATGTCTTTCACACTCGGCTGACATTGTATTTCCTCTGGTTCCCATCTGCCTCCCCTCTAACACAGTTTACTGACAATTTCAGTGTGCAGACTGTATCTTTGTCCTGAGATTTTCACCAGTTTCTTAGTTACTTGGCTATCTATGAAGTCATTAGCCTTTGGTCTTTTGACACAATAATTCTAATATTTTGACCCAGTAATTTTACCAGGCAGTTGATCTCAGAAAATTATCAAAATGCTAAAAAATATTTATCACCATGTTATTTCATGCTAATGGAAAACTGAGAATAAGCAAATGGTCCACTCTAAGCTTTGCTTGTCGTCTAAAGTGTTACCTAACTTTAAAACTTATGCCTTAAAATTTTCATGGAAAAATGTTTATAATACAATATTGAGTGATTAGAATGTTTAAAAAATAGTATTTGTGCCCAGCTGGTGTTGAGCGTAGACCCTGCACCAGGAGGTCACCAGTTCGATTCCCGGTCAGGACACATGCCCGGGTTGTGGGCCTGATCCCCAGTGGGGGCATGCAGGAGGCAGCCAATCGATGTTCTCTCTCATCGATGTCCTATCTCTCTCCCTCTCCCTTCCTCTCTCTCTAAAATCAATAAAGAAAAAAATTTTCATAGTATTTGAAATATTATCGAAATTCTCATATATATATAACTTACTGAAATATTAATGGTGACTCTCTCTAGGTGGCAAAATTATGAGTGAGGTTTATTTTCTTCTTGTACTTTTCTGTTTCTTTTGAGGGTTACCGTAAGGTTTAAATTACTTTTGAAATCAGGAAAACTCTTAAGCGTATTTGTCTGCTGTTTTGAACGTGCTGAGCACCCGTGCGCGCTGCGGTGTTTTTCTGCGGGCACCTCGCGGGCCTGGAGCGCGCAGCCGCTGGAGCGGGAAGGAGGCGCAGTGTGGACGTCGCTCAGCATCCGCCCTGATAGGACTACATTGCTCAGGGAAACACACTTCCTAGCCTAAAACATAATTATGCCTATGGCATTATGTCAATGTTAATAATAATATTACTGCAAATACAGTTATAATAATCACTACTTATTCCTATAACTTTTCATATTCATTCCTATCTAGAAGAAGAGACTTGAACGTGGTGTCCAAGAATTAAGTCCCCGCTGTTTCTTGGGGAAACTAGATTTTGCATTTCAAACTCTGGAAAGCCAGAGCTGGTTCCTTCTACAGGACTTAAGTCCACCTGGCAGAGGGACAGCCAAGCTGCTGTCACTGAATGAGCTTGTTGCACAAGCTGTGCTAATTATGCTAATTATGTCAAGCATTTTCTTTCTTTCTTTTTTTCCTTTATTGATTTTAGAGAGAGAGGAACATCGATGAGAGAGAACACTGCCCGCCTCCTGCATGCCCCCACTGGGGATTAGGCCCTCAACCTAGGCATGTGCCCTGACCGGGAATCGAACCAGCGACCTTTGGGTGCATGGGTCAACGCTCAACCACTGTGCCACACCGGCCAGGCTCAAGCATTTTCTTAAGAGTTACATAAATGTTATGTTTTTTTCCTCAAAGGTATATAATTATTTTACTTTGCTATTCTGACTTAGATCTTCTTGGAACTGTCTTTTCTACACCATAAATATGGCCCTGAAGTCAAAGTCAAGCTGCTGAGGAAGATAAGACTCCAGGGATGAAGGAGCGTGGAGGGGCTGGCTAAAGACTCTGGCAATGCACCAGGAAAACCGGCTTAAAATAAAAGCTTCCTTTTTGCTAATGTTTGTGTGTGAGGAGCTGCTGCTTTCTGGAAACTGGGTCACTGGAGTAGAGTCTGTAGAGGTGTAACGAGGCTTTTAACAAATGGTAGTGGGGGTCCGTGAGAAGGATAAAGAGGAGAGCAGGTACACATCGAAGTCTGGCCAGAGAGAAACACACACACACACCGTCTAAGACTTTACCTTAAACTGCAACATTTGCAAACATTGAAAAAATTAAATTCTCATATTATAGGTAAGCATTTGAATCAGTGTATAAAATGCACATTCATGTAGTATGTTGTGTCTTAGGCTTGAAAGACTGCAGGTTATAGAATGCATAAGTGCCAGTTCTCCAGAACTAAAAATAAGAACTCATGTTCTGACTTTGTAACCAGCAACATTAACAGTTGGGGTGTGTTCCACTATAAGTAACAGAAAACAAAGCCAAGAAGAAATTATCAATGGCGTTTGTTTCCTTTTTATTTTTTATTTTTATTAGAAGGTAGATGGCTGCCAGAGTTGGTTCAGCAACTTGATGATGTGTTGGCCAGTGTTTTTAATTCCCTTGGCCTTTCCCTTATGACTACTTCCTCATGGTTGCAAAATGGTTGCTGCAGCTCCAGATATTACATCCAGGTTGAAGGCAGGGAAGACGGGAAAAGGGTAGCACTAAACCACATCTCTTCTATCAGGAAAATATAAAGTCTTCTGAGGAGCCCTAGCCAACTTCTGCCTATGTCTCATTGGTCAAACCCCTAACATCTGGCTACTCCTAACTGTAAGGAAGGCTGGAAAAGAGCATTTGTAGGCTCTATAGTGGAAATAACACAGAGAAGGAGTTGGAAATGTCGTGTGGGTGGGCTAACAAACAGCTTCTGCCTTAGACAATAAGTAAGACTATTTGAAATCAGGAGTTGGTTAAACAAAAAGATCAACCTGAAAATTGAAAATAGCCCTGGCCAGTGTGGCTCAGTTGTCTGAGTGTCGTCCTATACACTGAAAGGTTGCCGGTTTGCTTCTCATTCGGGGCACATGCCTGGGTTGCGGGCTTGATCTCTGGTAGGGGGCATACAGGAAGCAACCAATTGATGTTTTGCTCTCACATCAATGTTTCTCTTTCTCACTCTCTCTTTTATCCTCTCTCTCTAAAATATCAATAAACTATTTTTAATAATAATTAATTTTTTAGTAAAAATTGGAACCAAGTCAGACTTTTTATTCTTTTTACTTTTTTAACTTCTTAAGTTTGTAATACATGAATCTCAGGAGAATTATTAAGCAAACCCCTGACATTATATCATTTCACCCCAAAATACATCAATATGTATCTCCAGAAGATGACGTTCAAAAATTAATATATTAACAATTCTATTATAACATCAAACAAAATGAATATTGCTTCACTCTTTGATATTGAAACTACTAAGAACCTATAGAATATGGATGCAATTAGCACCCCCCCCCCAGCCCCAGAAAAACATCCTAGTCTGAGAGTTTTGAGGTTGTTACTACTAAAACTAGAATGTTCTTTAAGGAACTGAAAGCAATGTTACCCAAATCTCACCAAGAATAATATTTAATTCGTCCACTCATTCATTTATTTAAGAACATAGTCCTCGACTTTGGGACTCAGACAGACAGGAGTCACAGTATTAAAATAGACTCTGATTTAATGGGAACTCATCTCATGGTCAGATTATGAAAACTGAAGAGGTGTGTGTTATGACCTTAAACTACAAGTAAATATTATACTAGATGCAAAGCACAGAGAAGACAGCCAGCCCAACTTGGCTCATGATAGCTGACAGGTCACAAACGACCCAGTGTTTTTCTTAATGAAAGCGCGTAAGACCTCACTGCTTCACATTTACCTGCTTGTCACTTTTGAAACATGTGGCCTTTATTTCCATCTTAGGTGTGGCCACATTCCCAATGGTCCATCGTTCAGCAAGACAAATGCTGACACTAAGACTTCTTGGAATGAGCCTTCCTGGCACTATGAAATAAATCACATTATTCTACCAAATGGCTGGTCATCGGTGCATCCTTTAGATTGGTTTGTGACCAAAAGCGGAAGTGTTGACGAGAAAAGGGGCCACATACTAACCCTCATAGCTCAGGGAAGGCCTGCAAGGAAGGTTTATAAACTCAGAGACCTAAAGTAACCACACAGGACGATCTGAAATTAAAACTTTCTAACTAAAGCGAGTCAAGGCAGATAGTTGTGTCCTAGGTCGGTATCTTGCTTGACAAAGATCAATCTTTACCATATTTTCTTTTTGCATCTGCGATGTCTTTTTGCATAGCATGTCTTTGGAATGTTACAATAATCTTCTTTTTCCAGACCCCTCAGGACACAATCTCCCACCAAAAACCTTCATTGTTATTGTTACCGTGTTAATTTTTTAACTGTAAACTATCCTATACCCACCAATGTAAAAGATGTGTGTCTATTCATTTTACGTTTTATCCAATCCCAGAGATTTCCTCACTTTGCTCTCTCCCACTTCCCTGATCTATCACCAGTGGATTTCATGTAACTTCCTTGCACCTCCTCCTTTGATTGTAATGTATAAAATAAGG